AGGTCCTACCGACAAGGGCGCGGAGGGCAGGACAGGCCTCACTCGAGCTACCCACAGGGTCAGCAAAACGTCCAGGAAGGATGGGAATCACAAACCTACGACAAACTTCAGGGCGGCGACGTGGGCGTTGAGGCCAACCTGGTAGGCGTCTAGAGCCGCATCAGTAGCGGCGTGGAACATAGTAGCAGCAGCCTTGAGAGCCTTGGTTTTGGCCTGATCCAGCTCAGCAAGGGTCTCAGCGTGGTGAAGAAGGGCTTGGCGTGGGTCGTTGAGGTTGCGGACGACGGGGCCCCCAGCCTCAGGGAGAGGCGCAACAGGTTCCTCGTGGAAGGACGTAGCAGCTCTCTTACCCTTATTCTTGACCTTCAGGGTGCGAGGCTCCTTGCCCTTATCAGCGGTAGTGAACTCGCGTTGGGCAAAGAGGAGGGAGGCCAGAGCCTCACGGGTGGCGACCGAATTATGTTCCAACCCAGCGTCCTCGTCGTCAGCGCAACAGTTCAAATAGGCGTCGGACTTGAGCTGCAGGGCAGTGAGGGCATCCTTCTGATCAGGACCGACCTGCCTGGTTGTCAGCATATCCCACTAAGAAGGAAAAGGAGGCCTACCGGAACGCAGTGGTGGTTTCCTTGGAGACAGTCGCCGCACTTGTCCAAGCCAACAGGGACCCAGCAGATCTGTCCAGGATAGTTGTAATAGGTGACTGAACACTTGACGCAGCAGTCGCGGGAGCCTGCGCGAAGGGGACCAACAGACTCTGGAACTGGGCGGCGCGCAGAAAGCTTCCACCCCAGCGCCGTACGCATCTCCTTGGCAGCCAACTGAGCAGCGACCTCCTCCTCCTCCTCTGGAGCGTCCTCAACTGAAGGTGATCGGTAGGGACGCACGGTGCGAGGGCGAGAGGTGGACGCAACGGAAGCAGGACCGAAGGGAGTAGGGGTGGCAGGTGACTCCAACTCGGGAGACCCAGACATCTGGGCGGAAGAGCGCTTGAGAGGGATGGCGACAGGCGCCACTGTCTTCTTGGGCTGCTTGCGCGGAGCCATGATTGACGGAACTAATCCACAGATCAGTCCCTGAAGACGAAGGATGGAAGGGACGTAAATACCTTGCGAAGAGGGAGTAAGCCTTGAAGCAAACCTTGGAAGAGGATCAAAAGGAAGAAGCCAAGAACCCAGAAGAGCGGGCACTTGGTGTGAGGTTGTGTGAGGAAAGTAGGAAGTTGGGTAGGAAGTGGGAGTTAAGCGCGATGCCCACAACAACTGGGGGTGGCCGCGGCACAACAACAAGGGGGGTCACGGGACCCCCCTGACAGGCGCGAGTTCGATAACAACAACCCACCCTACGCGCGAGCAAACAAGCCAAACAAGCCCAAACAAGGGCGCAATCAGCCCTGATCTCTATGCCTGGAATTGGGGGCAATTCCCTAGAAGGGGGAGGTAATTGTAAGGCGGCCCTCACGTGAGGGCACGTGAGGTGTCACGCTCTTACAGTGGACCTGGCGGGCTCGGTAAATTAGGGCCTACAGGTTCCTGTATATAAGGGGCTGGAGGCTCGGAGTGAGGCCTCCAGTCAATAGTCGATGTATCTACGTAGACCTATTGTGCTTACAGAATACGATACCTTCCTGCCTCCTGACCTGGTTCCCTGAGCTCCCGTGTGACCCTGGGTCCTACGACTTTACACAAAGCTGTAACTTGTTCAATGAGTGTCCAAATGATATGCCGTGATGTATGTAGCATAAACAGATGTAGTAGAAGAGTTTGCAGCAATCGTTGAGTAGTATTGCTCTTGTTGTTGGTGTGATAAGCCAAGATATGTATGGTGACTTGTAGGTTTGAGGAGGAGATTTCTAAGTTTGCTCTTGAGTTTGATAGCAAACTGAATGCAACTAATGTCAGTATGACTTGAAGTTAAAGCTATATCAATCATTTGATAAGTTGAGCTCCAGCGAACTGGCATATCAAGTGTTAATTGGCAGACTTTGATACTCGCAGCTTTGCATTGATTCTTCAATGCATCTTTCCATCCGCGACGGTTCCGGAACACATATATATGACGCCAGAGCTTGGCAAGAACAGTTACAATATCGTTTTCAGCAACAAGTGGTATTCGTGCAGCCCCAATCTCAAGCCGATATGGCGAGGTATTCGCCGGAATGGATTGTCTCTTGAAGGTGTATAACGTCAAGTATCGTAGTTCTCATTTGCCAATTATCATTTATCCAGTGCACAGTAACTGCTGCATACTCAGAATAGTTCCGAGCGGACCAAGTATCAGTCGTTATTGCTAGTCGTCCACCGTTCATAATATGCTGCTGTAATTCTACTTGAAGCCGTGCTTTATGATAGCAGAACAGTCGATATAGGTCCCGTCCGATCGTAGTTTTACTAACTGTTAAAACCGTAGGGTTTAGATGATGAACTAATTGCCGGAATGAGTGGCTTTCAACAAGGCGTAATGGCAGATTATTCGATACCACAAAAGAGAGTACGAGCTCTCTATATTTCGACGAGCTTGGTGCGTTACTTGGTACGTTACTTGGTGCTTGGCGGGGCTGGAAAAAAGCAGAAGCAGAGGGTGTTGACGAGCTTCTAATTGAAGATATCTTCTCGTATTCGGCGTGCACGGATGGATGCATCTTCTTAAGATGCTTCCAAAGATTGCTCGTCGTCTGGTTCTTAAGTGGCTGGCTTGGCATATAGCTGCAATCAGTTTGAAGGCATTGGTATTGGATTCTAGCAGGTATTGTATCTAATAAAGTACGGTGGAATAGGCCTTTTGAGAAGAGTATTGATGTAGAATCAGGTAATTGAACTCTTAGAGGCATATGCGGCAGCGGAATAAGGGGTGGTAGCTCTAAAGCATCAGACTGATACTCAGCCGGCACCGGCGACAGAGAAGAGCCACTCATTTTCACAGTCAGGAAGTAATACAGAACGCGCAAGGGAAGAAAGCTTCATTTATCTATTCTATTCTATGCTCAGTTACCCCTCACTGCCAAGGGCTTGGCAGTATTCGGAGTATGGAGTAGTTACGGAGTAGTATTCGGCGAGTCCCCGAGTACTCATAAATATCACCCGAATACCAGAGTACTCGGGGACTCGCCGAATACTACTCAGGGCGAGTACTACTCGGGCAACACTGAGTGCAATAAGTTTTGCTATTTTCTCATCATACGGACATCTAATGAAACTAATGATACATCATTTTTATCCCAAGACACCATCACCATTCTCCCCAACTTAAACTTCTCGCATATTCACAACGCAGCGAATGCAGTCACCACCCTTCATCGCATCAAACGCCAAGTTAATATCCTCCAATGTCTTGCGGTGCGTAATAAACTCATCCACCTTCAGCTTGCCAGTCATATAATCATTCACCAACTCAGGCAGCTGAGTGCGGCCCTTAATCCCACCAAACGCGCAGCCCTTCCACACGCGGCCCGTAACAAGCTGGAACGGTCTCGTAGCGATCTCCTGGCCCGCCGCCGCGACGCCGATAATAATACTGGTTCCCCACCCCTTATGGCACGACTCGAGCGCCGCGCGCATCACATGCACATTCCCCGTGCAATCGAAGGTGAAATCGCACCCACCATCCGTCATCTCCACCAGCTTCTCTTGGATCGTCGTCTTCCCCAGATCATTCGGGTTGATGAAATCCGTCGCGCCGAACTTCTCCGCCCACTCCTTCTTCCCCCCATTCACATCTACCACGATGATCTTCCCCGCGCCCTGCTTCAACGCTCCCTGGATAACAGACAGACCAACGCACCCGGCGCCGAAAATCGCAACACTGTCACCCGGCTGCACCTTGGCCGTCTCAACCGCCGCGCCGTACCCGGTAGTGATCCCGCACCCGAGCAGACACGTCCTATCCATCGGCGCCGATGGCGTGATGGCCACTACCGAGATATCCGCCACAACGGTATACTGGCTGAATGTCGACGTGCCCATGAAGTGAAGCAGCTCTTTGCCCTTGCAGGTGAAGCGCGAGGTACCGTCGGGCATCACGCCCTTACCCTGCGTCGCCCGGATCTTGCCGCACAGGTTCGTCTTGCCGGACTTGCAGAACTTGCATTCTTTGCACTCGGGTGTGCTGGGGGCGGGGGGTTAGCGAGTGTGCTTTCGCGGAAAGGGGGGGGGTTGTACTAGAGTGCTACAACATGGTCACCGGGTTTTACGGAGGTGACCCCCGAACCGACGGACTCGACGATGCCGGCTCCTTCGTGTCCGAGGACTATGGGGAAAGCGCCCTCGGGGTCCTTGCCAGAGAGGGTGTAGGCATCTATTCTGTGTCAATGTGATGTTTCCTTATTGCCTAAGCGCAGTCGTAACCGTACCTGTGTGGCAAACCCCGGTGTAGTAGATCTCAATGCGGACCTCGTTGGCCTTGGGCGCAGCGACCTCAATGTCCTCGATAGTAAGAGGTTGACCAGCTTCCCATGCCACGGCAGCCTGTCCCGTCGTCAGTAACCTCATTCCCCAGCTTCGTGCCGGCAGAATCGGATGCTAACCTTGCAAGGGATGGGCTATAGTGCCAAAAGTCAGTCTCGATATGACCTAAATGGAGCTCTCTGAGAAGAACACTTACCTTGCCCTCATGTGGGGAGAAATGCCCGCCTGTAGTTCCTACCATAGAATCCATTTTGTTCGTAGGGACCAATTTCGTGGATAACGGAATAAATAGATGGGTTTGTTCTGTTGATGCCGAAGCTGTCTAATGGTGGGGTAATTCGCCCACAAGGGCAACAGATTCGGGGTTGGCACTTATCGTACATTGGACAATCGATAACGTCGACACAATGTTGTAGGGTTCGTGCTTGGCGGCTCGGCGAAGGGGAAGGTAGCGCCGGTGGACCGGCGTAGGGGCGCATCAACGGCCTCTTTAGTGTTAGTAGTAATTGTTGTAAAGATGTGAATTAAGGCTCTTTCATTCTACTTATTGGCCATTCTTGTACAAAATAATACAAATCACGCTTTAGATGCTCAGTCATTTCAGTCCCTAGACTCCTCCTTCATAACCTTCTGCTCCACTTCTTCATCCTGCCCCTTGATCTCAACTCCATTTATAACGTCTTCCTTGATTCCATTCGTTTCAGTTTCCTCCTCCTTCTTCTCAACCGATTCTAACACGCCCTCATCAACCATCTCTTCCTTGACACCATTCACGTCGTTCTTCTCCTCCTTCTTCTCCTTTTTCTTCCCCTTTTCTTTCCCCTCCTCCCCCTTCCCCTCAAACTCAACCTTCAACCCCTCCCTCTCCTCCCTCCTCCTCCTCTCCCTCCCCACCCTAACCTTCACCCCATCCACCGCACTACACAACCCCTCCAACCCAACCTCACACTCCCCACACCTCCTCCTCCCCCTCTCACTCATACAAACCGTCTGCCCAAACCCCACCAACAACCAATTAATCTCCGCCCACCTCCCCCTCGGCACCCACCCCTCCAGCCTCCCCCTCGTCTCCTCCGGCCCCTTCGTCCCCCCGCGCCCATGCCACCCCCACAAATTCGTAATCCGGTGCACATGCACATCAACCCCTATCCCCTCCACCCGCCCCCACGCCGCCGAGAGACACAGATATGCCATCTTCGGCCCAACACCCGGCAACGCCATCAATCCCTCCGCTGTGTCTGGAATATCCCCCCCATGCGCATCCCGCAGTATCTCCGCAGCGCCCTTAATATACCGCGTCTTATTATTATGGAACCCCACCGCCCAGATCAACTCATTCAGCCGCTCCGCAGGCACAGCAAGTATATTCTCCAAATTCAACCCCGGCCTTCCCCCTGGTGTTGCGGCGGGCAACTCCTTGTAAAGCTTCTGCATCACAACATAATTCGTCGTATCCTTCGTCTGACTCGACATCATCAGCGACACCAACGTCTGGAACCGCTGGTCCCGCGGTGAGGCGTCGGGTTGCGCGAGGGTGTGGCACCCCATGGTATCCACCGCTGCGTCGGCCGCTACCCCACCATTCGTCCGCATCTTCATAACGAGGTCGTAGATGCGCTCCCAGTTCTGTGGACCTGCTGCGCCGGTCGTCGGCAGAGGGGGAGAGCGCTTAATCCGCTTAACAGGCTGCCTCCTCGCACTCCTTACCGGCGGGGTAATCGCACGACTCGAAGGCGCAGACGATAATTCCGAGTCCGAAATCTCCTCACCCTTCCCCCCCCACGCTGCCTTATCATCCCTACCCTCCTCTTTCTTCACACCCCCATTTCCCGCAGCCACAGCGGCACCCCGCTTCCTCTTCCCTTCCCCACCGGCTGGGATCGCATCCTCGATATCCCATCCCCCTCCTACCGATGGGATCGCAGCAGACCCGGCGTTGAGTGAGAACTGCGCGAGTGCGCTGCGTGTGAGGGGCGTGCTTCGGGGGGTGTGTGCGGCGGCGGCGGTGGTGGCGTTGAGGGCGCGGGTGGTGTCTTGGGAGATGCGGGAGGTGCGCATTGTATGTTTGTAAGAAGTGTCGTGTGTGTGTGTGTGTCGGTGGGTATGCAGCAGCCTCCCCAGGGCGCGTCTTCGATGGTGTAGAGAATGTGGATGTTGAGAGCGACGGAAGGTGTGAAGTTGGTGGCGGGTGCTGTGGTGGATGTCGCCGCACGCCCTGAGGTATGTGTGAGGTCTGTATATGCTTAACCCTAATCTGATTATCCCGTACGCAAAACCCGGCCTTTTCCCTGCGTTACCTTGCAAGTTTGCCGTTGCGTCCTTTTGGTCCTGGTGCCTCGCGAGGTATGGCACACCGCCTTACCAAATCTGGTTGGGGGTGATCTCGCTAGGTGTAGTGTTGCAGGAATTGTTAGGAGTGGCATCATAGGACTAGCGCAGGATTGGCGTAGCCGGAGCCCTGGGCGGCCCCACCAAAATAGTTCTTAGATTACCTCAACTGTAGACTCTTAGAACTTCAATCAATCAACAACTTGTCTACCAATCAACACTTCCAAACCTCCAGTGACTATGTGTTACATGTAGGCTCGGCTGGCTTTGTTTCCCCGGATTCCCGCATTCTTGGTAATGGGTGATGGGATGGGCTGATGGGGGTAGGGGGTCTAATGTTTGTAGGTTTCTGGTTTTGTGGCAAGGGTCTAGGGTTGGAGGGCTGAGGGGACTGGATTTATTTTGGGTGGGAGGAGTAGTAGGTATATGGAATATGAGATTTTGATGTGACATCCCAAGCCAATGAGGCCCTTATAAGTTTATTGACTCAGATGCGCGTTTGACTCAGATGCGCGTTTCGAAACCTTGATCATTGGAAGTCGAGGATTGGCATCATTAAGCTATGGAATTATGTTTTTTATTATCTCTGCATCCCCATCATCGCGCCCATATACATTTCCCAGCGCCGGATCGGCACATGAGACTCGCCCCCTTCATCCAGTATACACTTCATCCGACCGTCCAAAACACACCCCCTTCCCTTTCCTTCCTCCTTTACAGATCTCACAACTCCACGAGTTGTTTATCTCCTCTGGTACCAGCGTCTACTGACGGGCCTGCCGGGCCTATCAACATCCGGCTCCACCTTCCTTCCTCCTGCGCGCTTCTTCTCCCTGCGCCCGGAGCAGCAGGTTAGCAGCACCATCAGCGTCGCCAAGAACAACACCACAAACGCGGCAAGCAGCGTCCAGATCCCCACCTCAAACCTAGCATGGCCATGCCCATCATCGTTGACCTTCTTCTTCACAATTCCCCAGGCGACGAAATCCGTAATCAGCACAACGAGAGTAACCAACCACGCAACGCTAGAGATGAGCGCCGCACACAGGGAACCGAAGATGGAAGCCCCGAGCGAGGCGAGGAAGGCGAGGAAGGCAAGACCGCAGGCGACGGGGTGCAGGACCATGACGCGGGTGAGTGCGTCGGCGGTGTTCTTGGATGCCGAGCCGTAGTCGCCCGCGCCGAGGGTGTCGAGGAGGGGGACGGGGGAGTAACCGATGTGGGAGTTTGTGCAGGTGTTTCCGCTATCGCTGGGGGGGTGTTAGTTGTTTGCACGTGCTTTGGGTGGTGGGGTGGGAGGTGTGGATCGAGGGGAGATTGCAGACGTGATGGAAGGTGTGAAGAGATTTTGAGAAAGGGGAAGAGAAGATGGAGACGTACGTTAGGATGCAGTACCCGAAGGTACCAAAGTTGACGGTTCCGCCATTCTCGAGGTCGACGCGGAGGATGGCGAGGTTCTTGATGAGCGGGGCGGTGATGGTGGTGATGATGAGGAGGATGCAGGCTGCGAAGAGCAGGAACGAGCCCAAATGGCGGAAGAATGCGAGGACCATCTTTGCGGTCTCGTCGTTTTTCTTCGTCTCCTTTTTTGATTTCCCTTGCACTCAGATCGATTGGATAGACGTTTGCTATCTTCGTCGTATATATTGCGCAATGTACGATGGATGGTGAAAGTTTGTTTGGTCGATATAACACAACATAAACAAAAAAAAACAATAAGAGACGCACAACAAAAACCAAGGGGGACCAAGACTCTTTATTCTCTCGCCTCCCTCCCTCCCTCCCTCCGACTCCCATCCCAAAGGCTAGCCCAAAGCAAAAAGAACAACAGACCAAAAACAATAACGCTGCTACTCCCTACCGCATCGAGCGGGTGCGCCGTCCGCCAGCTGTCAGAAGTTGGCACGGCCAAGCTGGAGGTCCTGGGATCGACGTCGAGCTATCGGCATATCCAGCGTGTGAATTGTCTCACACGTCATGATACTGTGCCGGCCTCAGCCACAGCCACGCAGCCCCCGTCGGTTGGTGGATTGGTTCAGCTCGCACTGCAGGTGGATGGGACGAGAGTGGGCTGGCCGTGCAGTACACGCGACCAACAAAGAAACAAAGCTCTCACCTGTTCGCAGTCAGATGTCAAATATCAGCATTTCATCGTCTGTGGGTCAAATCTCACCCTCATCATCTCACCACCCTACTAGCCATCCAACGTTACTTTCCCCTGGCAATGGGAATCAGACATGGCAAATTGGACACACCCCTGAAACCGACCCCTCCAACTGCCAGGGCCCTCGCCTCGCTCGGCGTCGAATAGTGGACTGACGTATCCACCCACCACGCCAAGCTGTGGCTCTGTCGTCGCGTCCTTGATTCCCGCTTCTTCTTTCCTTCACCACCCCAAAATCGCTCATCGTGATTTTGATCGCTCATCGTGATTCCGGGGTGGTGAAGGCTATAATCGTCGTGACCAAACTTTTCGCTTCTCAAGGTTGGAGGAAGCGAGATGCGCGGTTGGGAAATGAGCGGAAGCGAAATGCCCGGTTTCACCACGTGCGTCTGTTCACCGCCACTCCTCAACAAATCCTTTTCCATGGTTGTAGATGGTAATCTGTATTATAATCCTATACAATTCATTTCATCGAAGGGACTCCAATATCAAATGCCTGTGAGTAGCTTGCAGAAAACCTTCTTCACTTCAGTCTATAATATCTGCCTGTCGCGTTTTCAAAGTTGGCCGCTTCAGCAGCTGCTACACTCGCGAGTGTAGCAGCTGCGATGTGGTGTAGCTTTAGCCTAGACTAGTTAGCAGCCGATAATTTGAAGCCGGAGATGTCGTCATATATAGGTAGATATAGTCATCCGCCTGTGATTCCGCCTATGTTCCCGGCCCAACCATGAACTGAGCTGGTTCATGAACTGGCCGGCCTAACCACGATTTTTCGAGTTCACGGTTGGGCCGGCCCGCTCATGAACTAGCCGGCCCAACCAGAAGTAGGAGTAATCAATTGATCTATATAGCTACGTTTCCTGCCACAGTCATGGTCGTCATTATGGCAGTGTATACTACACTCCTTAGCTTCCTTATAACAACAACACCTCTTTGTACTACATTAACCCTTACATTAACATGATATTCTAACCCATACGCTTATAGAAGCCTCTCTAGCTACTAGCCCTAGCCTTACTTGCTTTGTAGAAGTAGGAATAATGATATCAGACCATAGAGCTTGCTCTACAACTCTAAGTGATTTCATAGGTATTTGTAATGGTGGGTGCACCAGATGTGAGAATCTAGCCACCCAAGGAAAGGGGTAATTTTACTAAGACAACACACTGTCTTAGGAAACAGAGCCAAAGGGTTGTAGCTAGACTATTCCACAATGCAGCAATCAGGTGTGTGATGTAGTGAAGTCGTTCAGACAAGTTGCAACAAATGTTGAGTCTGGGAACTCAGGGGTAAGTCAGAGGTTAACACCTCACTGACTTTTCAGAAACAAGGAGTAACAAGATGAATGCTTGGAAGCTTGGAAAAGACGTGGAAGTATGTGATAGTCGATTTACTGTATTGTCTGCTTGCCCTTTCTTAAGGAAAGGGCAATCCTATTTATGCCAAAGGAGTGTAGTTCTCTCATTTTCCATGACTTTCCATGACTAACCAGGCTTGGTAAATGTATTAGAAATCAAGTGCGACCCACAACTAGCTTGCTAATCATGTAGCGAACGTAATAGAATCCCATAGAACCATCTCTTGGGTTCCTAGCCTATAGGAAGTGAAAAGGAGGTCCAAGGTCAGAGTACCTATAGATAAATTATGTCATAACTTAACCAATCTTGTGGGTAACTAAGGAGCGATGACGTGTAATGAATCATAGAGGGTTGTAGAAGCTTCTAGAGCTATCGTTCATGTTCCTAGGCCTCTAGTTGGTAGAGATATGCCATGTGGTAGTATTGGCCCACCCCCTTAAGGAGGAGATTTTCTTAATAACTTGTTCAATGAGTGTCCAAATGATATGCCGTGATGTATGTAGCATAAACAGATGAGGAGAAGAGTTTGCAGCAATCGTTGAGTAGTATTGCTTCTGTTGTTGGTGTGATAAGCCAAGATATGGATGGTGACTTGTACGTTTGAGGAGGAGATTTCCAAGTTTGCTCTTGAGTTTGATAGCAAACTGAGTGCAACGAATGTCAGTATGACATGAAGCATGTTTGGTGAGGTAATGTGAAGCCTTGGGTTCACATGGCGAACTGCGAGTCCTCCTAGTCTGCTTTGGAGATAACTCATCTGCATCTTGTCATTTGGGAAGTGGTCGATGTTGGCTTCCAGCTTGAGTCGGATCTTCACAACCCAGTCTTCAAAAGCTGATTCAATCCCATCTGTAAGAATAGGAGGATCCGGAATGCGAGCAGACTGGCGAGGTGCTGCATTGCAAATAGGAGCTGTATTCTCAAGATATTTTTGAATGCCTTGCAGTTCAGTAATCTTTTCATCCTTGTCTTGAATTTCTTCTTGGAGCTGTAGAATAGCATCATTTCGCTCTGCAATAGTAGCATCAGAAGCTTGACTGACGATGAGGTAGTCCTTCATAATGGCTTTCAACATTGACCAGGCGTACTCTTGGCTGCTAGGTGACAGCTTTTGGAATTCAGTGTAGGTGTTGACATTCCAATTCCTCATCTGGTGGCCGTTTGATAGTATAGACTGGTGTCTTTCTTGAGCTGTTTTGCCCATCCTCTTGAAATCTTCTTGGGCTTCGAGGAAGTCATCTTGAAGTTCATCTCTCTTCTCAGACTCATAGTCTTCTGGGTTTCGGTCAGCCATCTTGGCTTTTTCTTTGGCTGTGTGTGCCATAGCAGCTTTGCTATTCTTTCAGTTTTCGTATTCAGTAGATCAGACTCGTATCGCCAAAGGCCCTATTGCGCAGTTTGTCGACTGTAGGAGCCACTTGAGAGGAGCGCACTTCCCTCACAGCTATATTCCTTGTTGAGGGAGCATTGTGAAAGGTCTGATCTATGAAGTCTGTGGTGTTCTGGTGTTTCTGGTGTGTTCTGTGGTGTTCTGGAATCGACTTTAGGATATGGTTGTAGGGTTTCCAAAGAAGGAAATTCAAATTTCAGTATCAAGGTTCAGGCTCAGAGAGCAAAAGAAAGGTGAGATTCAATCTTATGTTACGATGGTCACGGAGGTCAAGAAGCCAGTCCGGAGAATAATAAGCTAGATTGAATCTTAAGAGAGAAGAAGAAGAAGAAGGAAGGAAGGTGAGGCTATTCCTCGTAATATACAGTTGTCCGCTTAGCGGTTGTAGCCTTGGTGGCTAAGGCTGCACCCGTAACAACCGTAACAACCGTAAGCTATAATCGTAACAATAGCTGTGGTAGGGATCAATCACTTTCCCAACTAGAGCCTTCATGTGACGACCTGCTGTAGTGTCATACTGACATTCGTTGCACTCAGTTTGCTAAGCAAACTCAAGAGCAAACTTAGAAATCTCCTCCTCAGACCTACAAGTCAACATACATATCTTGGCTTATCACATCAACAACAGAAGCAATACTACTCAACGATTGCTGCAAACTCTTCTACTCATCTGTTTATGCTACATACATCACGGCATATCATTTGGACACTCATTGAACAAGTTATTAAGAAAATCTCCTCCTTAAGGGGGTGGGCCAATACTACCACATGGCATATCTCTACCAACTAGAGGCCTAGGAACATGAACGATAGCTCTAGAAGCTTCTACAACCCTCTATGATTCATTACACGTCATCGCTCCTTAGTTACCCACAAGATTGGTTAAGTTATGACATAATTTATCTATAGGTACTCTGACCTTGGACCTCCTTTTCACTTCCTATAGGCTAGGAACCCAAGAGATGGTTCTATGGGATTCTATTACGTTCGCTACATGATTAGCAAGCTAGTTGTGGGTCGCACTTGATTTCTAATACATTTACCAAGCCTGGTTAGTCATGGAAAGTCATGGAAAATGAGAGAACTACACTCCTTTGGCATAAATAGGATTGCCCTTTCCTTAAGAAAGGGCAAGCAGACAATACAGTAAATCGACTAGCACATACTTCCACGTCTTTTACAAGCTTCCAAGCATTCATCTTGTTACTCCTTGTTTCTGAAAAGTCAGTGAGGTGTTAACCTCTGACTTGCCCCTGAGTTCCCAGACTCAACATTTGTTGCAACTTGTCTGCACCACTTCACTACATCACACACCTGATTGCTGCGTTGTGGAATAGTCTAAGCTACAACCCTTTGGCTCTGTTTCCTAAGACAGTGTGTTGTCTTAGTAAAATCATCCCTACCTTGGGTGGCTAGATTCTCACATCTGGTGCACCCACCATTACATGTAGAATCCCATGTACACCACTGCAACACTTGCTAGACCACTTGTAAGACTAAAGCTTGGACTTGTTCGTGAAGTGTCCGTTTCCAACCTCTCACTTAGCTGCTGTAGTTGTCTTCTTGTGCTAGTGGTGAACACTAGCCACAACTCTATGATACACTTCTTGTTAACTTGATTCTTTCTCTCTTGATTAGTAGTCTGATTCTCTAACAACTCACACACTCCTCTGCTTGTGAAGACTGGCAGTAACAGAAGCTTGTGTTCCTTTCTAACTAAAAACTCGATTCTCTGCTTGATGATGTTATTAACGAGTCGTAAAAGTGGGCAGACTCCCCTTCTTGTCTTCTGCTCTTCTGATGTAGGTGGTGCCTTCTCATTCTAGCACCGATGATAATTCCTATGCGCTAATTGGTCCGCCGACTCTAGTAACTAATCACCACACTTGGAAGAATTGTTCCTTCTCTTCGATTGCAACTCTAGCGCACTTGCCATAACTAATAACTCAACTCGCTGCTAAGTGCTGCTAACTCTGTATGCTGTTAGCCTCACTAGCTCTCTATAATATCTTGGTCACTGATATCTTCCTGTCCTGTCACTGTGTCGCTCGCCTAAGGTTAGTCTTCCAAGCTGTTCTCCGTCTTCCTTTTGAACTACGTCGGTCCACTAGTCACCGTCGCCTTCTAGCTGGCCTTCGCCCTGATTTCTTGCCGCACTGAAGCTTCCCTCTAGGCCGCACACGTCTCTTTCTAGAAGATCCAATCACCCCCCAAACCCTTGTCGCTCTATCTTGGGCAAGACCCCCAATTGTAACGATTCTTACAAGGGTCAGGTATTCATAGGGTGATTGATTATTCATTGTCCAACGATCTACTCCGAAGACCGGCCATAAGTAGGCCGGCTCCACGTGATCTCGTGATGACTAACCTAGTTTTCCGTACAACGGACCTAAACTATAACGAGATCACCCTCGCCTCTACTCGTCCGTCACTTCTCCTCTCTCATTATCCTCCAGCCTATGCAGCAAAGTACTTGCATCGCGCAAACATCTATCTCCTCTTTCATCAGCCTCCTCAGATTGGGTTTAATCCCTCGGCAGCTATTGCCGGTATTGCTCTACCTCTTGGATCATTAGGGACGATGTTCCACTAACTCCTCACCAACTAGCAACCTGCATCTGGGTGCTGGCAAAAGCATTCGCACGTCGGAATTTCGGTCGAGTCTCTGGAGATTGCCCCAAGCGAATGGCGCTCCATCCACTGCCTCCACCCACGGGCCAGGTCACCACCACTCTCCTAATAAACAACATTCACTGTGCCTCATGCCTCTCCTACATCCAGGAGATCCTCAGTACATTACAGCCAGCAACGCTATCGACTACTGCCAACTACATATCACATGAGGTTACGATAATCCATTACCCAGAGCTCTCTGCAAATGACATATCTCGAGCCTTGTCAGACGCAGCATTCGAGATCCAGAGTGCGCGGACCGAAGACGAATTAGGCCATATTACCCCCGAGCAAGATGAAGTCGAGGCTCCCCAGGAATGGTTGGAACAGGCCGCTCAGACGCTTAGTGAACAGGCATCAGCACCCTCGTTGCGCCGGACCACAGCACGTCTGGGATTGCTAGGCTATTCCAACCCCCAACCTAATAAGAAGCATATAGAGCACTGCGTTACTTGTCAAAAGTCGAACGAGAAAGTCGACATGTCTGAGGATTTTGTAGTGGCTATCCCTGAGGCCCAAAGGTTTACGGCCACTCTCAGCATCGCCGGGATGACATGCGCAGCATGCATCCTCTCAATCAATGAAGGGGTGCAGGAACTCCAATTCTTAGAGGATGTCAGCGTTAGTTTACTTACGAACAGCGCGACCGTTACCTTTGCCGGTCCGAAGGATAACATCAGTCAGATACTTGAGAGAATCGAGGACAGAGGATACGGCTGTCACATCGACAACATGACTGAAGTTGGTGGACTACAGGAAGGCGATGACGAGCAGGCGGAGAGGACAATCATGATCAGGATAGACGGCATGTTCTGTGATCACTGCCCACAACGTGTGCTCGACGCATTATCATCATCTTTCCCGAGGCTTCTCGCCGTCGACAAACCACTGTCCCACCAGGATCCCATTATCATAGTCACATATCATCCCCAACCCGGCTTCATTACCATCAGAGGCATACTGGCTGCGATTCTTGGCATCGACGAAAAATTTAATGCTACAATATACCATCCTCCAACGATCGAGGAGCGGTCTCGAGCTATGCAGCTCCGCGAACGGCGTCGTCTACTCTTGCGACTTCTCCTCAGCTTCATCGTCGCTATTCCAACTTTCCTCATCAGTGTGGTCTGGATGAGCCTAGTTCCCTCTACCAACCCCCTGCGAATATTCTTCCAACGAAAGATGTGGGCCGGTGCCGACACTCGCGGCGAGTGGGCGCTCTTCTTCCTTGCGACGCCTGTAATGTTCCTCGCGGCCGATGTCTTCCATGTTAGAGCTATCAAGGAAATTCGAGCATTGTGGGGACGGAACAGCAAGGTCCCAGTTCTCCGCAGATTCTACCGCTTCGGCAGCATGAACTTGCTCATGTCGGCCGGTACATCCGTGGCGTACTTCCCTTCGATTGCTGTGCTTATTCTGGATTCGCGAAAGACTGGCCAGAGCAACGGGCAGATATCGACGTACTTTGACGCAGTTGTGTTCTTGACGATGTTTATACTCGCTGGCCGTTATCTGGAGGCGTATAGCAAAGCTAAGACCGGCGATGCTGTCACCATGCTCGGAAGGCTCAGACCTACGGAAGCTCTGCTTATGAGGTCGAACCCAGACTCGGAAGATTCTTCGGAGAGCCAGTCATCTCCTCCAGCGGCTCACATCGAGAAAGTTAACGTCGACCTTCTTGAAGTCGGAGATGTGGTCCGAGTTCTCCGTGGCGCCTCTCCACCAGCCGATGGCACAATTGTTGTGGGCGATTCTACATTTGACGAGAGCTCTTTGACCGGAGAGTCTCGCCCTATCGCCAAGAATGCTGGCGATAAGATCTTTGCTGGAACAGTCAACACCGGTAAACCGGTCAGCGTCCGAGTTACCGAAATTCCAGGCGCGTCAATGCTCGATCAAATAGTCAAAGTTGTCCGTGAAGGTCAGACAAAACGAGCACCGGTGGAGAGAGTGGCTGATATCTTGACGGGATACTTCGTTCCTGTCATCACGCTCATTGCTATATCTACATTCGTTATCTGGTTTGGGCTCGGCCAGGGAGGGGTACTGCCGGAGACTTGGCGAGACGTTGATGCGGGTGGCTGGGCATTCTGGGCATTGCAGTTTGCCATTGCTGTCTTTGTCGGCGCTTGCCCTTGCGGCATTGCACTCGCGGCTCCAACAGCGTTGTTCGTGGGTTCTGGACTAGCGGCCCAAAACGGAATATTAGTTAAGGGGGGCGGAGAAGCGTTTCAAGAGGCCTCTGCTCTGGATGTGGTTGTCTTTGATAAGACCGGCACACTGACGGAGGGCGGAAACCCAAGTGTAACAAACCATGATATCATAGCATCTGGTGCAGAGGATATGAAGGTCATCTGGGCAATCACACAAGCGCTGGAAGATTCCTCAAGTCACCCTATAGCTAAAGCGATTAGCACACTCTGCGTAGATCAAAACCGTGCTTCTATTATCGACTCTACTATTGAAGAACTACCCGGTCGCGGTCTCAAAGGCACATTTACCATCCGTACATCCACCAATGACAGGCGGTACGAAGCCGCCATTGGCAGCGAAGATTTCATGTCCTTACTTGGCACGCCAATAGACACTTACTGGTCCAACAACGTGTCGACATGGAAAACCGCTGGGAAAAGCATCGCTCTTCTTGCACTGCGTCCTCTTTCGCTCTCAGACCGGAAGGAGCCTTCATTTAAGCTTGCTGCACAGTTCGCTACAACAGACCCGGTCCGCCCTGAAGCTTCTTCCGTACTCTCTGCTCTACGCAGTCAAGGTGTGAGCATTTGGATGATTTCAGGGGACAACGCCACAACCGCCACGGCGGTTGGGTATCAACTCGGTATCCCCGCCACCAATATCATTGCTGGTGTTCTCCCTTCAGAGAAGGCTGACAAGATCCGCTGGCTACAATCGACCGCCCCTAAACGCAACGGCAAGACTGGGAGAGCGATCGTAGCTATGGTCGGGGATGGCATCAACGACTCTCCCGCCCTCACTGCTGCAGATGCAGGAATAGCTATCGGCTCTGGCTCAGATGTCGCTATCTCGAGTGCCAAGTTCGTGCTGGTATCGTCAAATTTGCACTCGCTCTTGATTCTCATCACACTCTCGCGCACCGTTTTTCAACGAGTCAAATTCAACTTCGCGTGGGCATTGGTGTACAACCTGGTCTTGCTGCCGATCGCGGCAGGCGTGATTTATCCAGCACATGGGCACCCAAGACTGAACCCTGTCTGGGCGAGTTTGGCAATGGCAATGAGTTCTCTGAGCGTCATCTGCTCGAGTTTGGTTATGAGGACAAGCATCCCAGTGATTGGGTTTAGAGCAGCTAGGTAGGCAGAGAAAAGGGAACCTTTGGGAGCCAATAGTCTCTCGACCAGCACCTCAGCTCCCCAGCTCACGTTTTCGAATGCGAGGATTGCGATCGATCCTTTGGGAGCCAACAGACTTTCGACCAGCATCATCAGTCCTCAGCCCATAGTTTTAATATGCGATCACTCTTTGAAGGGCTGTGTGGGATAAGGGATGTTAGGTGCAATCGTTCCGTGTTTGAATGTGACAATGGCTATTCCATATGAGAAGCAAATTGGTTAAACAGAGTCCGTTCTACCGTAACATATCTCACAGAATTGATGTGAATTAGATCATCGCTCAAAGAAGGTCGGCGCGTCCACTGATCCACCCAATATAGCTCACCCATGGTATGACCCGATGGTATCAATGATCCCTCACCACCCTAACGAGTTCTGGTGGTCTCAAACTAATTTTAGGTAAGCGCGTGCGTAACCTTGGCCGATCATAACGTCGCAAGCAAGCTGAGTCCACCGTGCGACTCATTTCATCATCGTGCTGACCACTGAACCCTTCGCCATCTAGAAAGGAAGCCTAGTGACAGTATGGACCCCCCTGGCTCGGATTGCTGCGAGATCTGGATCGGAGGGTAGCGATGCATCTGCATTCACTATTACGCAATGGGTAAGAAAGCTGAAAGTGTGTTGATAGTCAGAATTCTTCTAAAACTTACGCCTTAATACAAAAAGAAGGAGTCACGACATCTTGCGGTTCATGATTTCGTGTCTCAGTTGCACGATGAAGCGGTAATTTTGTATGAAATAAAGAATGCCAATAGCCACGGTATTTAATGCTCTCTGGACACAACAAAAGATTCGATAGATATTGCATAGCGCCTGAGGTGCTGCTGATCAGGTGCTAGCAAGTGCGCCTTCCCGCAAACCTGCTGCATACGCTTCGAAGACCTTGCGAATCTCGTCCCGCACACGGCGAAACTCCGCCAGCACCTGCTCCTCGCTGCCTTGGGCGTGCGCGGGGTCATCAAAGTCCCAGTGATGGCGGTTCACTTGTCCTGGATAGAACGGGCAGACTTGGTCGACGTTGCCGCAGACAGTGATGACAGTCGCAATCTGGGAATCGAGAAATGTGTCCATATGCTTCGATGTGTGAGAGGAAATGTCGATGCCGATCTCTTTTAGCACCTGGATTGCCTTTGGGTGAACGAAGCCGGCGGGTTTCGACCCTGCGCTGTGCACGTTGATGAGGTCGCCGGCGGCGGCATTGAGGATTCCTTCAGCCATATGGCTGCGGCAAGAATTCCCGGTGCAGAGGATGAGGACGTTAGACTTCATGATAGGCAGAACAGTTGTGCTATAACTTGTGTTAACTAAAGGGTTTGTAATCTAACAACATTTCTTACAGAGTATGACAAGATTTGAGTCCGGTCTATCGACGTGTTGTAACTTAAAGAACGATGACACTCGGCGCAGGTCAGTGCTGTATTAAAATATGATCTTAAAAGATAAAGAAGTAAATGAACAGACACCGTGCTCGGATTAATTAAAATGCTAACCTCGCTAAGACATGTGACAGCAAGCTTAGAAATTGAATTCTAGAACGGTTATCTTCTACTATAGAGTTTAATAAGCTTGAATAGATGGCCCTATGTGACCTACTTTGGCATCTGTCACTTGCAAACGTTGATTGGTGTAATTAATAAGGTTTCCATTAGCTCCCGCTTCGGCTATCGTAAACTCGAAAGAGCTAGAACGCCGTTAGTCATCCCATGGTGAATGTCGCTGTTTACTTTTAATTGGCTGCTTGCTATCGCTCGATTGGGATTGCCACCCTTGGTGGTATCATACTTCCTCTATTTCAATATTCACTTCGAACTCGACGTCAATTTTCCCCAGCCTAATTTAGATAACTCTTCTTTTATTATAAATCTACCACGCCTTTCAGGCTCAGAATATGTCGCAGCTTATCTTCTAAAATGGCGGATTTGAAGGCGAGCTCAGACAATCCGGTTGCATCAGATCAGAATCCATCTACCAACAACCCTGGTCTCAACGGCGTTACTCTGGATATCGAGAACAAGGCAGGCTCTAGAAGTACGGCAGATACTCAGCAAAGGAACGAACCGGCTTTCAAGTCTCTTGGCCTCCTCGACCGCTTCTTAGCTCTGTGGATCTTCCTCGCGATGCTCATCGGCATTTTGCTTGGAAACTTTGTTGAGAATGTAGGCCCTGCACTGCAGAAAGGAAAGTTTGTAGGAGTGTCTGTTCCCATCGGTAAGAGCCAACCTCCAACATTTAAGCAGTTCGGCTAACAGTCTTGGAAGCAATTGGTTTGCTTGTCATGATGTATCCCATCCTATGCAAAGTCCAATACGAAGCTTTACACCATGTCTTTCGAAAGCGAGAAATCTGGATCCAGATCGGTTTCAGCATTGTCGTAAACTGGGTTGTTGCACCCTTTGTTATGGTACGTACGAGTTCATGTTCTGCTGCCTCTAACTGCTAACAGCCCTAGATGGCTCTTGCGTGGGCTTTCTTGCCGGATAAGCAGGGCCTCCGGGAGGGACTAATTCTTGTCGGTATCGCAAGATGTATAGCCATGGTGTTGATATGGACGGGGCTGGTAAGCCTCAAGCTACCTCATGCAACGATACAAGCTAATCACCAACTTTTGTAGGCTGGAGGCGATAACGAATACTGCGCTATCCTAGTTGCAGTAAACTCCTTTCTTCAAATCGTCCTCTTCGCACCGCTCGCCCTCCTCTTCATCAAGGTTATTAGCCACGGCGGGCCAGGCGTCAGCGTATCATATTCCACAGTTGCAACCAGTGTGGGCGTCTTCCTTGGCATTCCCCTTGGTGCTGCCATCCTCACCCGGTTTACAATTCTTAAGATTGGCGGCGAAAGGTTCTACAACCAGGTCTTCTTGAAATTCGCCGCACCCTGGTCCCTTATAGGTCTTATCTTCACCATCCTGGTTCTCTTTGCGTCACAGGGCCACCAGGTTGTGCACCAGATCGTCTCCGTTGTGCGTGTTGCTGCCCCACTAGTTGTGTACTTCACCGTTATCTTCTTCTTGACACTGCTGGTCACACACAAACTTGGCTTTGGATACAAGTTGGCGGCGACGCAGAGTTTCACAGCCGCTAGCAACAACTTTGAACTCGCGATTGCGGTGGCTGTTGCAACTTTCGGCGCGGATAGTGACCAAGCACTAGCAGCAACCGTTGGCCCTCTAATCGAGGTCCCTGTCCTCCTTGGGCTTGTCTACGTTGTGAGGTGGTATGCTCAGAGAAGAGCGTGGAAGGATTGAAAACATAGCACATGAAGTTTGATGGGTAGACTGTAAATAATCTACAAATTGTCGCAGGTAATCGCCCTGGACAATGGAGCAATATCTGTCGCCTCTGTTCGGAGCAATCAATATGTAGCTAGAACTCCAAGTATACCATAATCGCAGCTTCAAAATTGCCTATATCTTGCCTAAGGTAAATGAGACTAAAGTCTCAGACGTACTGCAATATAGATTTTGGTGATAAATGTAAAGATGCGTTTCCACTCAAAGAGATTGAGTTTGAGTTGTGGCAATTGGCAGTTGGCGTTGTCTGAATAGTCGCTGTATTTTTAGACCTAACAGATGCTAGTATCATCAAGAGAAATCATAAATGGTGTACAATATATATTACAGTATCCTGCATCGACATCAATGCGCGTGACTTCTCGCGCTGCTGAGGTGTTACTCAGATCCCCATTTATACGCATAGTTCCTGGCATGGAACCAATCAAAAGGTGTCGTGGTAATTTATGGGCAAATGTAGAAGTTATCGGAATATTGGCGAGCACGAGTCGCATTTGCAATGGTAGCTATGACAAGGTGGATAGTCAGCCTTATCTGCCTTATAAGACAAGAAATTTAGTTTCGACTCACTAGTGATCGCGTAACGACTACGTACGACATACAGTACTAGACCACTGCTATTAACCGAATTCCAATTTTGTTAGAGGTGATTGCGGAAAGTGGGAATTACACACGGATTTGTATGGTAATCCCCAACCACCGTAATTGATTCCTTGCGGGTAACGGAGCAGAAGCTTCACAGTAGAACACGGTAAATACAGTATATAGATCAAAATTAATTACTACCTAATCTACGGGCCTACGTACGCTATTTGTAGCCCCGGGGGAAACCCCCAAAACCCTGACGAGCTGAGCTTTCCGGACTTCAGCTGGGTTTGGATCAGTGGCTTCCAATAGTATGGCGCCACTGTCTCACCCGTAAACTAAACTGGGAGTTGGATGATCCCACGGGGATAACCCGTTATGTTGGGTGTAAAAACCCACTGTTTCCCAGCGGGAAAGTCCGTTTCCCTCAACAAATTTGACGCGTAACTCGCGTCACGTAACCCACCCCTCCTTGTACAACAACCATAATTATGCCACCAACTCGGAGGGCTTTGGCTCCAATTGATGGGAATCGACAGCCTGGTGGCCAATTAAGCCCATACCAACGCGGGCAGATTATTGGGAGGCAGTCAGAGGGTGCAACACCTACTAAGATTGCACATGACCTAAACCTTGACCGAAGCACCGTACGATATACAATTGCAGTTGACTCAATACGCACCGAAGGCAAGAGCCTACCCCGTACACCATGGGGAAAGTTACCAAGAAGTAAAGGATGCTTGTAATGTTGCTTGCTCAACATCAACTATAAAGAGGATACTACAAGAAGCAGGCATAGACAATTGGCGATGTGCTTCGTTCGCTGATGAAACTCTGGATTCTCTACAAGTGCAAGAGCTCTTGGTTGTCGCCAATGATTTCCGTTGTGAGTGCATCCTTCTTCTTATATCCAAGCTCCTTGAATACCTGTCGAAGCCATGCTCCTTCCTGTGCAGCCTTAAACATAGCCACGTATTCAGCTTCAGTAGTCGCAACTGCAATGGTTGGCTGTCTCTTCGAAATGCTCACAATGACGCCTCCACAGAAAAGGTAGATATATCCTGTGTGAGACTTTCGCTCGCTTCTGTCGCCTGCAAAGTCTGCATCGACGTATCCTCTTAATGCCATAGCCTCATCATCCTTCCAATCGCCTCCATAACAGATGCACAGATGAATAGAGCCTGCGAGATACTGCAGACAGCGACGAGCAGCTGCGATATGCTGTGGCGAGGGGTTTGCGAGAAAACGAGATAGAACGGACGTGCAATAGTTGATATCTGGTCCAGTGTTCGTGGCTAGATACATTAGAGATCCAACCATAGACTGATACAGCTTGATTTCGTGAGCTGTAGCTTTGTCTTTGTACGGAGTCATGAGAATTTCCCATCCTTGGGCACAAGGCATCTTCACTGTGTGGCAATTCGTCATTCCAAAACGGCTGAGGATCTTTTGAGTATATGCATCCTGTCCAAGGTAGATCTCTCGCTTCTTTCTATCTCGATGAATGCAGACTCCAAGGAAGTATTGTGCAGGACCGAGTTCTTCAATTGTGAACTTTGTCTGCAACTCATATTTCAACTTACTTAAGTCCTCGTTATCTTTGCCAATAATGAGATCTTTGTGTCCTTGTTGATGAAGATGCATTGGTCTGTTTCAAGTGGTTCAAATCCAAGAGATTGGAGTGCTTTGCGAAGCTTTTTCTGCCAGAGACGTGGTGACTGCTTGAGACCATAAAGCGCGCGTGATAGCTTGCACACATCCTCCTTTGAAAGTTTGACACCATTCTCACACCATCCAGGAGGCAATTTGACATATACCTCTGCATCGATATCATTTTCAAGGAATGCAGTGTCAACATCCATCTGTTCAATCTCAAGATCGAAACGTGCAGCGAGGGCAACGGCGATTTTCCATGTGGCTGATTTGCAAACTCCTGCAAAGGTCTGCTCATAATCCTTTCCATATCTCTGCTCATAGCCCTTTACAACCCATCGAGCCTTGCGGCGAAGGATTTTGCCATCTCGATCTCTTTTAGTGCGCAAAACAAGGCGTCCACCAAGGACCTTTTTCCCTTTTGGAACTTTGCTTTTATGCATGACTTTCCACACTTTCTTACAAGTAATGGATCGATATTCAGAGGCAATGGCCTCATGCCAGAGATCTGCATCAGATTGAGCAAGTGCTTCTTCCATGGTTTGTGGATGAGTTGTATTCTGTGCCTGTGAAAAATGCATTTTGGAAATCTTCGTCTTGATATTCCTGTTCTTCCTCTGCATACATGGCATTTCGAGATGAAGCAGCATCCTTTGCTTGGCTTCTCGTGACTCGATTGTGTTCAGCAATAGGAACCCAGACTTTGCGAGTTTGAGTCTTCTTTGGAGGTTCGCGCTCCTCATGCTAGATTTCTGCATCTGGCTGATCTTGAGGAGTTTCTTCCGCATCCTCCTGATTGTGAATTAGGTCTAGAGTCTGTCCTTCATAGTCTTTATTTATTGAGACGGAAGGTGGAGGGTATCGCAGTTCATCCATTTCTTCCACTGCGTTGTTGTGGGCTGCTTGGACATTTTCGTCACTGATTTGGTCAAATGTTGGCTTTGTAATGAAACCACTGCCTTCATCAAATTGAGCATGCGAAGTTCTTATAATCTTCTCTCCAGCTCGAGAGGGGACGTAAACTCGAAAAATGTTATGACCCTCATATCCAATGAGAATGCCGACTTCTGCCCTTGAGGCAAGCTTCTGGCTTTGCACTCTGCGTTCCTTTTGGATAATAACATACGTCTTGCATCCTAGAACTTGCAAGTGGGTGATGTTAGGTGTGTGATTCACCCCTGGTTCAATTTCGTCCCAAAATGCTTCAAATGGTGTCTTCCCATCAATGGTTGAAGTGGCCACTCTGTTTGAGATGTAAATGGCAGCTTGAAACAGCTCTGGCCATAGGAATTCAGGAATTCGCTGATCAATTGCAGCGGATCGAACACGTTCAAAAATGGTGCGAAAGCTTCGTTCGGCTGTGCCGTCTTGATATGCGCAAAATGGAGTGGACAGCTCAATGATGGTTCTGAGATCTGCTGTAAGCTCATCGATCTGGGTAGGAGCATATTCCTTTCCTCCATCCATTCTGAATCTCTTAATTGTGACACTCATCACGCTTCTCCTTGTTATTTTTGAGGCAGTCTTGAGGTGAGTGTCGAGGTTTCGGCATTGTGCAATGTGGGCAAGATGGTCGATCTCCATTCTTCTTGTCCTTGCTTGGGTTTTTGCCCTTACCCGTTCCTTGAGATTTGTTTCCGTACAAGGCATTCGAGCCTGTAGGAGTCGATTTCGATCTCGCCTCATCTGTGAGGTGTAGTCGCAGTCGTGTTCGAAATTCAGTTTGAGATGAAGTTGCGAGTTGATCTGTCGCTGTTACGGCTACGGTAACGTGACGTCATGGTTACAGGACCAGGGCCTAGTAACGTGACGTGTGAGTCACAGGGGGCAATCGGGGTAGGCTGCCATGTGACGGGGCTAATGGATAGTTGCAGAAACTAGTGGATATTGGATAGTTGAGCTATCCATGAACTATCCTGAATATCTAGCTACTGCCAACTATCCAGGTTACCCATGAGGCACGACACTGTCACGGTTCACCAAGGCATAGGGCGCCAGTTGGGTATTATGAATTAAACTCAATCTAGAGAAGAAAGGAAAGAGAAGAGGAGCACTCGAGCAGTGGCTCGATCTATATACAGCTATTGTGGAGTGAATTCTCTTTAGCGAGACCAGTTCTGAGAATTCACTCCACAACTGAAAACTTCGCTCCAACCCCAGAAAGCTCCCCACACCCCTGAACCCCCACTTGAGCTGCAAGGCGCACTTGATATCGTAACACTACCCCCCCCCTACTCCAGAGTTGATCTCCTGATCAAGAAATCCCATTTTCAAAAAAAAAACAATTGTCTCCAGCTCTCATTTTGGTTTCTGAGGGTATTTTCTGTGATATGCTTGGGTAACTTCTGGAGAATTTTCAAAGCTCTCTGCAGTATACCATGTCTCATCTGGTGGATAGTTCTTCCAAGCTGCCTTGTAGAAAAGCTTCTTTCGAATAACTTTTGAGTCGAGGATTTCGTCCACTTCCCACTCCTCTTCGCCATTGACAATGACTGGAGGCTCTGGCTCCTGTTGCTGCCCTTCGATTGCATCATTCGAGTCAAGTCTTAATAGATTGGCATGAAATACTGGATGAATCTTCATGCTGTTTGGAAGTTTGAGCCGATATGCAACTTGCCCAATTCGCTCTAGAATTTCAAAAGGTCCCACTTGCTTGTGGTCTAGCTTCTTTGATGGCCTCTGTGTCTTTATATTTCGAGTTGAAAGCCATACTCTGTCTCCCACTTGATAGCGTGGTGCAGGTTTCCTTTTCTTGTTCGCGAAATGTTCCATTTTTGCTTGCGAGAGCGTGATTTCATCCTGCAGAAACTCCCAAACCTTTGCCATGGTCTGAGCTATGTTCTTGTGCTCTTGTTTGGCTTCGTGATATGCTTGCTGCTCTGTATCGAAGCTCATTCTTGGTTCATAGCCCTTGTTCGCAAAAAACGCACTTGTCTTGGTTGCATCTGATGGCAAACTGTTGGCAGCAAACTCCGCCATGCACAAGTATGAAACCCAATTGTCTTGAAGATAGTTCACATGAGCTCGCAAGTAGCGTTCGAGCTCTGCATTGAATCGCTCAGTCTGTCCATCTGTTTCTGGGTGGAAGGCAGTTGAAATTTTGGCTGAAATTTTCCAAATTTTGCAGAGCAAACTCCAGACTTCTGCAATGAACTGAGGACCTCTGTCTGATATTATCGAGTTTGGTAGACCATGGTGCTTCCATACATGTCGAAGTAAGAGCTGTGCTGTAGCTTCTGCAGTAGTCCCTTCTTGCCCAGCGAAACACGGAATGAAATGTCTTTCTTTCGTCAACCTGCATGCAACAACCAAGATAGCATTGTTCCCTTCACAGAGTGGTAATCCTGTCACGAAATCCATTGATATATCCATCCATGGTCGACTGTCAATAGGGATTGGTTGTAGAAGTCCATTGTAGGAATCTTGAGATGGTTTCGATCTTCGACAACTATGGCAGTTTTTGATATATCGAATTATTGTTTTGTCCATGTTTGGCCAGTAATAGTGCTGTTTCATGACTCGCAGCATCTTTCCAGCTCCTGGATGTCCCATAGAAGGTTGTTCATGAACTTCTCTCAACAAGTCCACCTGAATGGTTTCTGGCACCCAAACTCGATTTTGATATTCTAGCATGCCGTTTTTGAGTTCGCAATAAGCCAATGCAACCTCTTTGCTTGTTCGATCACCATTCTCAAGCTTCTGTAGTGTAGCCTTGCAGAATTTGTCTTCCAGTTGAGACTTTTGGATTTTCTCAAGAATTGTCATTTCTCTGATATGAGTTTCCACTGGAGCTAGCTGAGCTGTTTGGCCTTGTTCTTTGAGTTCCTGAATGTCTGGATGTAGCCTCGAAGGTGGTAGCAACACCTGAAGCTGTTGCTTTTGTCGATCATCCTCATCAAATTGCCTTCTGGTCTGTCACCAGGCCTTCGAGTCAAAGCATCTGCTTTTCCATTTTGCTTCCCAGGCCTATAGATGATCTGGAAGTTGTATCGAGAGAGGAATTCAGCCCATCAAGCTTGTCTTCTTGTCAGCTTCTTGGTGGACATGAAGTATTCCAAGCTTTTGTGATCAGACAAGACTTGGACTGGAAAATCTGTCCCTTCAAGTTCTGGTCTCCATGCTTCGAAACATCTGATGATTGCAAGCAATTCCTTGTCATATATCTCGTAATTGCATTCTGCAGGTGCTAGCTTTTTCGAGAAGTATGCCACTGGATGTAGAACCCCTTGATCATCTTTTTGTGACAAGACTCCTGATGAGATGAAGTCTGAGGAATCTGCTTCGACATAGGCTGTCTTGTGTCTATCGAAATGCCTCAAGACAGGAGCTTCTGTGACTGTTTGTTTCAACAGCTCGAATGCAGTTTGGCATGCATGAGTCCATTCGAATATCTGATCCTTTCTGGTAAGGTTCACCAATGGCCTCATGATGCTGGAGTAATTTCGGATGAACCTTCGATAGAAATTGCAGAATCCAATGAAAGCTTGCATATCCCTGAGCGATTTTGGAGTTTGCCATTCCAATATAGTAGAAACCTTTGCAGGGTCCATGCGAATGCCATTGACTCCCACGATGAGTCCTAGGAATTTGGTTTCTTGGACGAAAAACTCACATTTTGAGATATCTGCTTGCAGTCCAGCTTCTCGAAGCTTCTGTAGGACTTTCCTTATGTGCTCTGTATGCTCCGCTCGAGTAGCACTGTAGATAAGAATGTCATCCATGTATGCGGTGACGAATTGGTTGAGGTAATCCATGAGGGTTTCATTCATGTACTGTAACGCTGACTTCTAAATGATAGAAGACACAGAGGTTCTCTTGCGTAAAGGTTTACTTATCAGAGGAGGCAGGGGATCAGACACAAAGGCTTCAAGTAACACGTTACTAGTATATAACAAATACTGTATTGAGTTGAGCACGAAGCTCCTATCTAAGGAAATACTATCTACTTATATAGTGGCGTCGTGCCTCATGGGTAATCTGGATAGTTGGCGGATAGCTAGATATTCAGGATAGTTCGTGGATAGCTCAACTATCCAATATCCACTAGTTTCTGCAACTATCCATTAGCCCCGTCACATGGCAGCCTACCCCGCTTCCCACTGTGACTCACACGTCACGTTATGTGACTCACACGTCACGTTATGTGACTCACACGTCACGTTACTAGGCCCTGGCCCTGTAACCATGACATCATGTTACTATAGCCGTAACAGTTATGTGGAATTGGCCCTTTAAAATTGCGCGTTTCCCTTTGCTCTGTGCTCTCCGTGTTTGTATTATCGATCGTAGGTTATCTGCCTCGCGTTGGTGTAAGAAGTTGCATGTATTAAGTCGCTCAGTCTCATCAGCCAACCGACGGATATATCGAGTAGTGGGTGTGTTTAGGACTGTACGCGTCTCTAAGGCCGCAACCAGGACAGTGTTCGCTTTGCACAATGTAGAACAGTCGGGTAGACTACTGTTCTGAAAGACATTGTCAAAAATATCGTACTCAGTTGGTGTTTTTGGTCGATCATCTGTCACATCTGTCTGTTGGAGCGTCACCATCCGGATCACCCGTTGAGGTTGGAAAGGTTGTAGACCAGCACCCCTCCACGCAGATGTAATATTATGAGTAGATAGCGCAATTGCTCTCGCTTTGATGTATGCAGATAACCATTCTGCTTTTTGTATGCGTGTAAGTTGCGCTTCATTCAAATGTGAGAGCGCACTTGTGAGATGTTTTTTCAATGGTCCGAAGACTGCAACATCGAGTGGTTGCAACACATGGGAAGTGTGCGGTGGGAGGACAAGGATAGATATTCGATTTTGCATACAATGGGATATAAAGCCTCCACTTATATGACTGTTGTGGCCATCGCATATGAGTAACCGTTGTTGTTGTGCTCCATTAGATGTCGCTTTCGCATGCGTTGCTGGTTCAAACACGCGTTTTAACCACTCGATGCCATGTAAGTTGCTTGTCCAACCCTTTGTATTAGCAGAGAAGTGCCATTTATCAATAACCTCAGGAGGGATCCAGTTTTGTAAGACGTTCCGACCCTTGAATATAATAAGAGGGTTAATGGTCGTTCCATCCATACAGATGCATTCAACAGCAGACACCCATTCCTGCCGGCCTTGGTGTGCCTGGTGACATGTACGGAGTGTAGAATCAACGATGATCCGAGTACACTCCATAGTGCCAATCGAAAATCCAGTTTCATCCATGTTATACACGTTGTGTTCTTGTATTCCTAGATGCGCCACAAGGTCCTTGTACGCGTCAAACCACCCCGTTAACACATCTTTTGTAACTCCACTCATTCTTTGTGCTTCGACCCGTCTGCCTAGTTGGATTTGTAAATGCGGATGTCGTTTTATAAACCGTGGGACCCAGTCTTGTCCAAGGGGAAAGTTCAGAATCTCTTTGTGATGAGTGTGTTGGGCATGTTGACTGTTAGGGTGCGACAGTTCGAAAACGCGGCATCGGTTGACACGGATTTCGTCAGCAATATCCCGCAATATACGGTGACTAGGAGCATATCCACTAATTGTTAGCACCTTAATCCACTTTAAAAGTGTCTGCTCTTGTGCTGGCGATAGCAGTTGTTGTTGTTGTCGAGCTTCTCTCCGTGACAGTTTCCCATTAACGCGTTGAAGGACTGTGTCTGGCTGAAGGTGTAAAGCCTTTGCAGCACTGTACGAAGATTTGTATAATCCGGATTTAACCAGCAACAGCTTGTGCCAATAAAACTTCTAGTTCTTCGGCTTTCTGACTACGCTTTCGCACCATGTTGGGGGTTTACATTGGTTTGGTGATACTCTTGATGCTCAATATTCCCCACTATCCCGTTTACGCCATTCTCCCGGTTACGCCACGACTTATGTTACTTACCGAGTGCAATATTGTCTGGAGAGCAACGTCCTGGCCCTGAGCCAGGACGTTGCTCTCCAGACAATATATATTCTATTGAAGCCATTCTTGATATATCAGTTGGTTGATCGCTCCAGTGATTTGTACCCTAGCGCCCAACTAAGAACTATATATGTGGGTGGGTGCCACGCCAGTGGCTCCCGTGGCTCTGAACCCCGATTCCTGCAACAATTCTTTTTGTGAGCTTGACACTGTGCTGAGAAATAAGCATGGCGCAACCTTTCCGACTGGTGTCTCGCTTTGGGCACTTCAAGATTGAAAAAGGAGGCTGAGCGGCCAAGGGAACAGCCAATTAACGTCCAGATACTCAAACGATGGCGCCCTGTCATTGAATGCTGCCAGCACATATTTACAGGTGAGAAACTAAAGAATTTAGAATTAATAACAGTAAATGAAACCCTCCGAGAGTGTCCATATGATATTATCACCCAAACTGGTGATGTGAGAGTCCGTTGAGTTATGTAACGGTGATAATTCGCAAGACCTAACAATACATAAGTCTTCAAACTTCTAGAATGGTTACTGTAATCAGCTTCCAGAGTCGGAGTTGGGGCTTCGTGCCTTCTGGTCGTCTCCGTGTCCAAGCACCTGAAAGAAAGTGCTGGCGTCTAGCGGAGCACGGCCTGGAAATTTAGGAATAAAGTTCAAATAAATGTAAACAGTAAACAGAAGCGTGAACTTCTTTTCTTCTTCTTCAATCATCAACCTCAAAGGCGCATTTGTGAGTAACGGTGATCGTTCTCGGGTACAAACAGGAGCTAAGTACAGCGTAGACCATCGGCGAAACCCCGGGTCAGCAGCTCGTGCCGGACAAACATGGCACCGACATCCGGCGATGCGCCGCAAACTCTCGGCGTTGGTTGGCGCACCGACGAGGAGAGCATCGTCGCCGCCGAGAGATTGGACAGCGCATCCCGGTCCTCGTCCCCCGACACCGTGATATTCGACCCCGAGTTCGCGGCAGGAACCTTACTACGACGCCAATCAGGACACCGAGCATCCGGCCTCTTCTCCCCCCAACCACCAACCCTGGGCTCCCAGCCCGACAACATCCCATATAAATTTCCCACCCGTGCCACCCCCCACAAGCTCCCCCAACCTGGACCTGAGGTCGCAAGACGCTACACCCTCGGCCAATCGCTGCCGGACCAGCCGCTCGAGTTCCCCGTAATCGACACGTACCGCGAGCGTGAGCCTCACCGCACCCCGGACCGTCAGCCTCCCCCAACGCCAAGATTCGCCCCCGCACCCTTCGAGAAACCTACACCTCCACCTCAATCACCGCAACGCAGAACTCCCAAACTCCAACTCCTCCGGGGCTCACCCGAGCGCTCCCCCAGCAGAACGCAGAACCCCTCGTCCCCTCGCTTCAGAATCCGAGGAAACTATCGTCCTGCTCTAAACAATATGAGCTACCAGAACTACCTCGACACACCACAGACCGGATCAGCACCTGGACCCCGCCAGGCCCCCTCTCCATCTCAAGGAATGCCTCACGCAAATGGCGCCAATGGCGCCCCTGCCATGCCGGGAATGATGGGCGGACTTCCCACACCGGCTGGTCACCAGTCCGATCTCAATGCCATCTACAACATGGTTGAGACGCTGCACAACGAGCTGGCTGAGACGCGCGCACGCAGCGAGCGTATCGTAGCCGCTGCTGGGATTATTCGCGCACGCGCACTCGAGCAGGACCTTACTGCTGAGCAGATCGCTGCCGGCGTCGCAGCTGAGCTTAATGGTACCCACCCATCCCCCTCCCCCCCCTTCTCCCCTCCCTTTACCCATTGAACCAACTAACCCTTCCCCCCACAGAAGGCACCAAAAACCTCGAAGGAGAGAACTCCCGCCTTCGCCACGCCCTGTCTCACGCCACCCACGAAGAAGCCGCCTACAAAGCCCTCTGCGAAGAATTCGCCGTCACAATGGGCAACGCCCTCGAGCTCTGCCACGCCTACAAACTCAAGACCACGCTGGACATGTGCGCGTGGCACCGCTCCTACCGCGACCAGCTCGCCGCCGAGCGCGCCGAGAACGTCGAACTCCGTTGTCGCATCAGCGATATGCAGGCCTCTGCCGCGAGGGGGATGGAGCAGATGCGCCTCTTCCGCCGCGGTTGGGATAGGAGTGATCTTGTGATGGAGATGCGTGCTGAGATTGTGAGTTTGAGACAGCAGGCGAGGGGGTGGAAGAGAGTCGCGCTGTCGGAGCTGGCGAGTGATGATAGTGAGTTTAGTGATGATGATGATGTGGTTGATCCGGAGGAGAAGAAGAGGTTGAGGAGGGTGGAGGAGAACAGGGTTAGGGAGGAGGGGGAGGGGGAGGGGGATGAGGAGGCGCTGGCGCTGGCGAAGGCGTTGGAGGGGACGAGGCTTGCGGAGACGGGGGGGGAGATTACGATCTAATTTCCTCAACTTCTTGCGAGCTGTTTGCTGGGTCAAGGTCTATTGGGTGCATAGCATGAAGGGTGTCTGGGTTAGCGTGGAGTCGGGGTGTTATATTTGTTTGAGTAGTTCTGGGGCGGGCGCCGAGCATGGTTGCTGCGTTCGTGATGTGGTACGGCAGTGTGGTGGCACTGGTCGATGCGTTTATCTTGCTTTGCATTTGTATTATAGGAATCATACTACAGAAGAGGTCTGCCCACTATGGCACAAGACCTTGCAAAGAATGGGAAAAATTTGCTGATTATAATCCACCTCTCCTCACATCGGTTGTATTCAGGTCGTCACGGATTCATCAGAAAATTCTGGTTCAATAACGTAGGAAGAGTGAAAATGCCATTCATTCTATACAAACAGTCTAGAGTACATCTACAGCGTCTATTCTCTATCTCGCGACAGAGCACACCAACCAACGACACACAATGCAGAACATATATCCCCCCCGAGCCCACCATTCCCATCCCAGGTCCAGCCCGCCCAAAACGCCACCACTCCCAGATCAAATAAAACTTATATGCCATATCCTATCATATCCAAACCTACAAACTCTAGGACCCAAGCACGCTCTCCTCATCCTCATCACTCGTAATATCCACCTCCTTAATCTTCTCCTCACGCATCTCGCGCCACGTGCTCCAACTCAGCACCCCAAACGCAACCACAATCAGCCCACCGCCCACCACAGCCGCCGGACCCAGCGGCACGCCCGTAAGCGCCCAATCCGTCGCAGCGACGAGGAAGATCGTCAGCAGCGCCGCGACACTGCTCAGGACGGGGCTTGTGAGACTGATCAGCACGAGGAAGCTGCCGGAGAATGTGGCGTTGGCAAGGACGCTGATGCACATCATCCATGCTGCCTCGCCGCGGGGGAGGGCGAAGGGTTCTAGACCCGTGTAGTGCAGGATTGGCAGCGGGATCCACAGGACGAGGAGGGTGAAGGCGCCGATGATGGAGCCGAATGTGTTAGCGAAGATCATGCCGCGGCCGGGGCTGCAGCCCGTAGGGGGGCAGGCGAGGCGCTTGTACAGCACCTCGTAGAGGCCGTAGAGAATGGAACCAGCGCCGATGATGAGGTTTCCCGCGAGCCGGTTCGTGGCTTGGGTTTCGGAGGCGGTGGCGGCGTGGGCGTCGGGGGTGTTGCTGGGGTTAGGTGTTGCGGATGAGGTGTCGCCGTATGCGACGACGAGGACGCCGACGATGGCGACGAGGACGGCAAGGGACTTGTCGGTGCGCAGGGGCTCTTTGAGGAGGGGCACGGAGAAGGCGTAGGCGAAGAAGGCGGAGCAGTTGTAGATTGCGGTTAGGTCGGAGGGGGTGGTCATGTTGACGGCCAGGTACCAGGATCCGCCTGCGATGGTGAGGGCGGTGGTTACGCCGGCGGTGGTGCGGAGCATGTAGGGGACTGGGGAGTGCTGCATGCGTGGGGGGGTGAGGGATTGGGACTCGACCATCTGGGCGGTGGTGCGGAGGAGGTAGACGTGGCGGCGCCAGAAGGTGTGGAAGGGCATTGAGCGCTTTTGGAGGCGGAGGCACATGAGTTGGAAGGGGTAGAGGAGGATCCAGGAACCGTGGGTGAAGTAGCTGGGCTAGTTAGTATGGATGAGGCAAAGTGGGGAGGGAGGGAATGGGGATACATACAGCATGCAATACGCCTTGTCCCATCCGAGGTCATGCTGGATATAGACAGCCGTCTCCGTCTGGATCACGAAACTGACCAGACTGATGCCCAGAAAGAAGGCCGCGTATGTGTATTTCTTCTTCGTCTCGAGGAGTGCCTGTGCATCTGCGGGGCTTCGACTCCGCATGGTCGAGCGGCGATTAAACGCCGTATGGGCTGGGGTTATAGGAGGGCTATCGCTCGCACGACCTCGCTCATCGACCGATTTATGAAGCAGCGGCTGTCCCGGACGGCCATCTTTGTGCCTGTTGTACGGGGGTCGTCGCTCGCCCATGTCGTCGGTCTCGGATTCGTCTTCGTGGTCGTACGGGAAGTCTTGGAAGGACCTTGGCTGGCTGCCTCTGCGGTTCTCGCGGGGTTTTAGGTCAGCCTCTGAGGCTGCTCGAGAGGAAGCGCTGGATTTGGCGGGCTCGGAGTTGGTGCTGGTGGGGAGGGGTGAGGCATTCCGGGAATGAGACGGGGTATGCTGGTGATTATACGACATCCATGCGGAGTTGAGGTTCTCGAGGATGGCGTGAGGTGGGTTCAAGGGTCACCGCAGAATCATTCAATGAATGGGGGGTTCGTTAGTTGGTTGAGTTTGCACGGCGGCGATGTTGTCCATGCAAACGGTAGAGGTGGTAGAGGTGGTAGAGGTGGTAGAGGTTGGAAATCTGGTAATCTCGTAGTGCAAGTTAGTAAAGTAGGTGGACAGGTTTTAGTTTGCGTTGTACTGTACTCTAGGGTACAGATGAGTACAGATGAGTACAGATGAGTACAAATGAGTACAGATGAGTACAAATGAGTCCGGCAAGGAGGCGACACGGGGGCAAATCTGAGCGAATCTGGGCGTGTCTTTTGGGGTCTCTTGGTGATGACGTGATGGTTTTCTTGACGTGGATTTGGGGGAGACAAGGCTGACATCGCATGTATTCCGAAGTACCACAAGTACCAGACGCAGTAACTTACCACAACACAACTGTAGGCGGAGAGCAGTATATATGTCTATTATATCGAATAAGTTATGTGTGTATAATGTCTATTATATCGAATAAGTTATGTGTGTATAATGTCTATTATATCGAATAAGTTATGTGTGTATAATGTCTATTATATCGAATAAGTTATGTGTGTATAATGTCTATTATATCGAATAAGTTATGTGTGTATAATGTCTATTATATCGAATAAGTTATGTGTGTATAATGTCTATTATATCGAATAAGTTATGTGTATATATATGTCTATTATATCGAATAAGTTATGTGTATATATATGTCTATTATATCGAATAAGTTATGTGTGTATATAACGTACATGTATAGCGAAAGCGCCAAACAAGCGAAAGCGCCAAAATGATGCGGTGACCAAACCCCCCAACTAAATGTTAAATTCCTCAACAACAAAACATGCCCCATAAAAACGATGAAAGCCAATTAGTGCTAGCTATCCAGGCTATGCAAAGCGACCCAAAGTTACGCCTTCGAGTTGCTGCTAGGATCTATTCTGTGGACCACCGCAAGCTAGGTCGTCGTCTAGAAGGTGTACCTTCACGACGCGATATCCAAGCCAACTCACGGAAATTAACTAACCTAGAGGAGTCCGTCCTTGTTCAGTATATACTCGACCTAGCTGCCAAAGGGTTTCCTCCTCGGCTGTCTGTTGTTGAAGATATGGCAAGTCGACTACTTGCAACACGCGACGCGTCACGCGTTGGGTCGCGTTGGGCTTCAAACTTTGTTAAGCGGCGTGTAGAGCTCCAGACACGCTTTCAGCGCAAATACGACTACCAGAGGGCTAAGTGCGAAGATCCAGAAGTTATTAATGGCTGGTTTGAGCTTGTGCGTAACACAATTGCGAAATATGGTATCGATGAAGCAGATATCTACAACTTTGATGAGACTGGGTTTATGATGGGCGTTATCTCAACTGCTATGGTTGTAACAAGCTCAGACGGGCGGGCAAAAGCAAAGAAGGTACAGCCTGGTAATCGGGAATGGGTTACAGTAATCCAAGGCGTTAGTTCTCAAGGTTGGGCAGTACCACCATTTATCATTGTTGCAGGCAAAAACCACCTTACATCTTGGTATGAGAATAGTGGATTTTCAAGCGATTGGGTGATTTCTGTTACTGAAAATGGCTGGACTACAAACGAGAGAGGCATGGATTGGATTCAGCACTTTGAGAAGCATACAAAGGCCCGGAGTGTTGGTGGTTATCGCTTGTTAGTCCTTGATGGTCATGAGAGCCACCACTCAGATGAGTTTGGGGAGTACTGCAAGGAACACAACATTATTACGCTTTGTATGCCTGCTCACTCTTCTCATCTACTCCAGCCACTTGATGTTGGCTGTTTCGGCCCGTTAAAGCAGGCCTATGGTCGGCAAATTGAAGATATGATGCAGGCTCATATTTCTCATATTACAAAGGATGACTTCTTTCCTGCCTTCCACGCTGCATTTAACACTACAATGACGGAAAGTAACATTCGAGGCGGGTTCCGAGGGGCAGGGCTTCTTCCATTTGACCCTGAGAGAGTGATATCTACACTTGATCTTAAGTTAAGGACACCAACGCCTCCAAGCTCCCGCCCAGGTACTGCTCAACCTTGGGTTTCTCAGACACCAAACAACCCAATTGAAGCTATGTCACAGTCTACATTTATTAAAACTCGGATTTCACGCCATCAAAATAGCTCTCCAACCTCAATCTATGCAGCTGTTGACCAGTTTACAAAGGGTGCATCGCAAATAATGCATCAATTAGCACTGCTAAAGGGAGAGAACCAAAACCTACGACAGGCAAATGAAGTACTAAGCAAGCGCCGGAGAGCTAGGAAAACACGACTACAGCAAGGAGGATCACTTAGTCAACAAGGGGCGCAAGAGCTACAGGATGAGAGGGATGTTGTGCAGCAGGTAGAGCAGGAAATAAGGGCAAGCCGTGGTCGGAAGCCAAGGGAAGAAACCCGTGCCCGTCGCTGTGGCAAGTGTGGTGAGACTGGGCACAATGCGCGCACGTGTCAGATTGTAATAGACACCTCTGAGGAAGAGGACTCCGAGTAGTTTCAATTGATTTCTAATGTTGTGGTAGATTTATCGCAATGTTTGTCGTGAGGGTAGATAATTTTGGCGCTTTCGCTTGTTTGGCGCTTTCGCTATACATGTACGTTATGTCTATTACTCGGTGTTCCACCCACTCGCTTCGCTCGTAGGTGGCGACAGCAAGTTGTGCGTGCGACAGCAAGATGTGCGACACATAAAACGATGAAAAAGACGCCTTATATATCAACTATATAACTATATAATTAAAACATAAAATCAATAGAACTACTATCACTATCGCTACTGCCACTATTGCTACTATCACTTTGATCCTTACTATACCGTAAAATGATCACTTTTGATTTCAACCCTTCCTTCTTCCGCTCTGCTACCCGCTTCCTCTCAACCTTACGCTCTTCAATTTCGATTTTACGTGCTTGCGCTTGTAGCTGCTTTACTACTTGGTCCGATTCCCTTGCTGCTCTTGCGTCTGCTTTTGCTTGCAACTTTGCTTTCTTCTCTTCCCGCATTTTCCGTGCATCTGATGCATATAACTGCCCTCCTTTCTGTAGTGATTTCCGTGCCCTTGCCTTTGCTGCCTTCTGCTCTACTGCACGTAGAGTCATAATATCTAGCTCGGTCTTATAGAGCTCTGCCCGGTGTAGAACAACTGTAGTTCCACGTGCAAATGATTGAAACCCTTCTCTTGAAGGCGATGAGAAAGCTTCCTCTGCTCTCTTCTGCCAATGTTCAACCGCTTGCACACTTTGCATAGTTGTTTTCGGTGTTGAGATAATATTATATGAAGCAAATGGCTCATAATCAGGTGTTTGATTCCGAGTCTCTTGTATCTTGTCAATTACAAGTGGAGGATTATATGGATATAGTCCTGTATTTCTCCAACCAGATTGAATTGTACGGACAGTTAGAGATTGCCGTCGGATTTGCGGGAGGTCTGAAAGGAACGTACGTAGCTTATACTCATAGTCGTAGCTACGTACTGCTTGATCAAGTGCCTTTTGATGAAAGTGTTTGCACTGCTTAAAAACCGCTACATCAAGAGGTTGTAATAGATGTGTTGTATGAGCAGGAAGGCAGCAAATAACAATGTTATGCTCTTCTGCTAATGTAAGAAAGCGCTCTGTTTTATGAGAGTCATGGCCGTCAAGTAATAAGAGGCGAGTATCATCTGGTGCCATATGCTCTGCAGATAGTTGGATAAAATGCATAAGGTATTGGATTGCAATGTCGTCGTTTGAATACCCGCTCTCATTTACAATAATGAGAGCATTTGGCTCAAGGTCATCATTGTACCATGAATCCATATGAAGTTTGCCAGGGATAATGATAGCTTCTGCAAGTGCAGCACCACTTGCATTTACTGCCTCAATTACAGTAACAGAGAGCCGATTCTCAGGATTATCAACAGTCCACTGCTTTACACCGATTGGTACAATAACAGCCGTAGACTTATAACACCCAATCATATAGCCTGTCTCATCAACATTCCATAAATTATATGGCTTAATGTTATGTTTTGTAATAAGGGCGTTATATGTGAGAAAGAATTCCTCAAACACCTCTTTCTTTTGTGCTTGCTTCCGATGTGTATTTAACGTCTTCGTGTGAATTGTATGAAATTCGGGGTGTGCTTTTAGAAAGCGTTGTAGCCACCGTTGTGATGGTATCGTACGATTAGGTCGTAAGTCTGCAACTGCCCGTAGTATCATAGATCGGTTGGCAGGGACCCCGCGCTCAAGTTGGTCGTATATGAATTGACAGACCGCGGTCTCTTGCGATTGAGATAAGACTCGATTGCTACCTCCGTGGGGTAATTGAGGAGACGTAGTACTCGTAATACGACGTCGGAGTGTCTCACGGTTGACATTGAATTTATTTGCAACCCAAGCAATTGTATATGTACTTGGTTGTTTTAAGAAGAACTGTTGGGCCTCATTAAGGCGAGCAATCATAGTAGGATCGTTATTTTGAGGCATTGTAGATACTACGTTATGAAGAATACTATTATTTTTTCTATATATCAAAATAGCGGTGTACGCACATCTTGCTGTCGCACGCACAACTTGCTGTCGCCACCTACGAGCGAAGCGAGTGGGTGGAACACCGAGTATATCGAATAAGTTATGTGTAACTTATATAATGTCTATAATGTCCATAATCTATAATACTCACCCAGCATCAAACAGACCATGTTTTGAATTTCTTATTTTCTCCTCCTCCTACACAACACCTCACCAACAAATCGTCATCGACGCCACCACCCAGGTAACGCTCATGCCCAACCCATATAATCTTACTCCTTATACAACGGGCCCTTATGCCTTTCCCCGCATTGTACCTGGACCTGGACATACCCCGCTTCCCTACCCCGCCATCCGCCATCCCCCATCCACCCCGCCATCCACCATCCCATCCACCATCACCATCCACCATCCACCATCCACCATCCACCATCCACCATCCACCATCCACCATCCACCATCCACCATCCACCACCCCATCCACCATCACCATCACCATCACCATCCACAATCTCCGCTGTCACGTCCACTAGCTACCACAAGTTAGCTACACACTGAGACTTTATTGTGTATACTGTATCTCGCATTTACTGATGGCGGCGACTACAGTGACGCCTGCGCCGGAATAGGAGACATCCCACCCACGACTCAAGAAGAATACAACACCCACCCACAACCTCAAAATGCTTCTCATACCAACCTCACCCAACCCACACGCCGTCCTAGGTCTCCTGACCTTCGGCCCTGACGCAAGTCCAAGCCACTACACCTCTCACCCCCACGCCGCCCGCTAATACCCCTTCTCCTCCAGCCCAGCAGCGGCGCCCGCATCACCTCCCTCCCCCAGTTCGCCAAGGTCCTCGACGTCTACCAGTCGCGCGGCTACTACGAGGTCGACACCGCGCGCTCCTACGGAAATGGCACCCAAGAAGCCTTCACCCGCGCCGCGGGCTGGAAGGAGCGCGGTCTCACTCTAGCTACGAAGTCACTCCCCGAATGCCACCGCGGTCACAGCGCCGCCAACCTACCCGAGAAAGTCGAAGCGAGCCTGCGGGAGCTGGGCACAGACTGCGTTGATATCTTCTACCTACACACAGCCGACCGCAGCGTGCCCTTCGCCGAGACGCTCGAGGCGGTGGACAAGCTGCATAAGGATGGCAAGTTCGTGCGCTTCGGCATCAGCAACTTCGCCGCCTTTGAGGTGGCTGAGATCGTCGTGACGTGCCAGCAGCGCGGATGGGTCCGCCCGACGATTTATCAGGGGATGTACAACGCCCTAACACGAAGCGCGGAGGCTGAACTGTTCCCTGCGCTGCGGCGCTATGGGTTGGCGTTCTATGCATACAACCCGCTCGCGGCGGGCATTTTCTCGGGCAAGTATACGTCTGAGGCGGATCGGCCTGAGGAGGGGAGATTTTCCAATGTTGATAGCAAGAGAGGGGAGAGGTATCGCGAGAGGTACTTTCGGCATGGGGTGTTTGAGGCGTTGAGGAGCGTTAGGTCTGTGACGGAGGGGGAGGGCTTGACACTAGTGGAGGTTGCGATTCGTTGGCTTGTGCATCATAGTGGGTTGAAAATCGTGCATGGGGGTCCGGATGCCGTTATTCTTGGGGTGAGCAGCTTGGCTCAGCTGGAAGAGAATCTCGACGCAATGGAGGCGGGACGGTTGCCAGAGGCTGTTATTATGGCCTTGGATGAGGCTTGGAAGAATGTTAGGCCCGAGTCAAGTGACTATTGGATTGGCAAGCTCGAGTACGACTATGATACTAGAAAGGCGCTCTTCAGCATCTGAGAGCATGAACTTTGGTAGACGGCAGTTATAACGAAGCCACGTACGTACAATGGCGAGATATCTAGAGTAGAATTCGGACTTGGACCTCATAGACCAATCCCAAGAAGATAAACCCTTCATGCACTGAACTCCATAGATAACAATTAGGGGTAAGACAGGCTCGGACGAGATCTAGCCCGTGATACCGTCTTGCATGCGGTCTCGACCTGCTGTTTCTGGGGAAGACCAAATTCCCAGACCCGGTTATGACGTCCCCCTATCCCCCAACGCACGTGAGCTTCCGGCCGGTAGCCAACGACAAATGCGTGCCACCAAAACGCCATATCAAAAAAAAGAGTAATACCATAAAAGTCCAAATCTTGTGTTCCAAATCTTGTAAAAAATCCAAACCATAACCGACCTCCCCTGAACCTTCTTAATAAGCCCAAACAATAAAAGGTCTCGCAAGATCCCTGTCACTCAACAAAAACTCCAACTGACAAGCGTCGATAGCAGCAGCTTCACGGGAAGCCTCGGCTGACGGAGAGTTCCCCACAAAACCTCCAACAGCACGCTCGGGAATCACATGCTGGGCGGCAGCCGCGCGGGAGGGAGGAGTAAAGGGAGGCAAGCACACGCTATTAATACGCCCGAGCGATCCCCAATTTCTTTAACCAGGCTTTTGAAATAACCACAATTCCATCTATCAACTCCCAAAATACTCAATATAACCAACTCTCATAATGTCTCTCAAGAACGGTAAGAGCGCGCTATCGAATCGCATGATGGGGGAAAGGAAGCAGTAGCTAACGAGTGGGTTTCAACAGCCGCATTCCCCTCCTCCGAGGCCTTCGATGCCATCAACGCCTCGCTGCAGTCCGATGATGCCGAGCGCAAGAATGCGGTTAAGACGGCCCAGTCCGTCTTCGCTTTCACCCTCAAGAACAAGGCTGGTGAGACGGACAGCTGGCACATCGACTTGAAGAAGGATGGTGTTGTTAACAAGGGACTTGGTGATAAGCCTACTGGTACGTCATTTTTATTTTTTGGGGGGGGGGTTTACCCTGACGCCCCAATTACATCCTGAATTAGGGAAGCAGCGGGGGGGGGTTGGAACCTGAAAGGGGGAATATAATTGAATTGAATTGAAGCTAACTGAAGCACCACAGTCACCCTCTCCCTCTCCGACGAGGACTTCGCCAAGCTCGTCGCTGGCAAGGCGAACGCACAGAGGCTGTTCATGAGCGGCAAGCTGAAGGTCAAGGGTGATGTGATGAAGGCGACGAAGATGGAGCCGATCCTCAAGCGCGCGCAGACGATGTCGAAGTTGTAGAGGGTGGGTGGATAGAGAGGCTGGCTATATGATTTGGAAGTCATGTAGAAAGAAGAGCCTCGTGATATAGGGAAATAAATTATAAAAAGCTGTATCTACTATATATATCCGTTTGTCTTGACGGATTCGCGTCCTATGAGCTGACTACCCTCCCCGCCTCCTCAAAACATCTTCGTCTCCCCCTCAAACGTCGTATACCACAGCCTCCTCACCGATACCACATTATTAGCCAGCACCCCCATCAGCACCGGCAGGCGCTTCGCCCTTATCTTCCCCAACAACAGCTTCGGCCTCCCCCCCTTCGCCGTCCGCTCCACCCTCCCCACCCAAAGCCGTCCAAGCAGCACACTCCCATACTGCTCGGTCGTCAGGTTCACATCGACGCCGTGGACCTCCTCCCCGAGGAAATACGGTAGTACCAGCGGTAGCGTAGTGATGAGAACTGTCTCCAGGGCTATCACAGTGAATAGCGCTTCCCAGAAGTGGTCCGCCAGTGGCCTAGGGAGGCGTTCGTGGTCAGGACACCCAGTCTTCGAACAGAACAAACGACGACACGATAGGCGCGAGGTTATGCGCTGTGAGGAAGGCCAGCAGCGAGAGCAGCGAGGCGAGGATGTCGTCCTGGTACTGTCGCCTTGTAAGTTAAGGGGGGTTTCTGGAAAGGCGGGACAGTCACATGACAATAATGATACAGTAGTGTAGTCACGTGTTCCCGCCAATCCAACGCCAAGCTCCCATTACTCACTCACCGGAGATAACCGACTCCACAAATGATTACGTCTTAAGTCACGTGCGAGGCCGGTGGCATTCCGGCCACTGACCCACCAAACACCAATAACTACGGGTTAACCAACGCCAACGCAGTAGACCTCAGTATCTCACCACCGGGAAGGGATCGTGGGGAGAGTATAAAGACCAATTTTTGTCATATTTAAGAGGTTTTAAAGTCATTTCAAGTCATGTCTGAAGCAGCTGCTATGTTGCTATGTTGCTATGTCTTTTTTGCTTTTCGTGTAACCACAAGTGATGGATATACCCCTATATCTGCTTCTAGGCGTCAATCGTCAGCATCACGACAACGTTGCGTTGTTAGGTCTCCATTGTATATTGGGCTTGGAAATCCATTTCTTGAGACTCGTCCAATCTCAATTTTTCATTGCGTAACTGCTTCCCCCGTCCCCCTTGTTGGAAACGAGAGGGGAAGGTCATCCGACGATTGAGGCCGGAATGAATACCGGCCTCAGAGATAAAAGCGAAAATTTTGCCCACAAAGGACAGTTCTCTTTCTCTTTCTCTCCACATCATCTCTCTACCATATCTTCGAGACCTCAAGTCTTCCAACACTTTTTTCTTCCATACCATACAACTTCTATAACATCTCTTATCAATTATCACAATGGGTTCCAACAGCGAGCCCACCTTCAATGTCCTCGCCGACACAAGGCCAGAGGACACAACCTTGCCACCCTTCATGGCCTCGACCTCTCGTGGGTTCCTGCCACGTGCTGATCCAGTTGTCGACCTCCCAGAGGAGTTCGCTGCCTTAAGCTCCATCCTCGACCGTATGCCCATGGTCACGGCATCAGGCGAGCCTGGTCTCCTCGCCAAGGGTGCCTTGGGAGATACCGTCAAGGCTGAGCTGACTGACCTCTCCGCTGCCGTCGAGAAGTATGCCGACAATCTCTGCATCCAAACCGCCCTATACAGGGACTACTCCTTCATCGCCTCGGCCTACCTCCTCGAGCCCTGCCACATGGCCTACATGGCCAAATCACCCTACGGTCTCGGCCGTCAAACCCTCCCCCGCTCCATTGCCCTCCCCCTCTCCGTCTGCGCCCGCCTCGCTGGCTTCCAGCCTTTCATGGAGTACGCTGGCTCGTACGCGCTGTACAACTACAAGCTGGAGAACCCAGATGTTGGCATGAAGTACACCAACCTTCGTCTGATCCGTGCCTTTGAGAAGGGTCTTGACCCAACCAGCTCTGAGGCTGGCTTTGTCCTTACTCACGTGGAGATGGTGAAGAACTCTGGGCCGTTGGTTGAGGGATGTGTGAGGGCTCTTGATGGGTGTGGGAGAGATGATAGGCACGAGATGGATGATGGTCTCGATCAGGCGTTTGAGGCTATCAAGAAGGTTAATCAGGTTATGGAACGTAAGTGCTCTACCTTTCCTTCGATATATAATATGGACAAGGAACTAACACGTGACAGGTATGTGGGCAAACTCCAAGCCAGGCGACTACATTGATTTCCGCACCTTCATCATGGGTATCACTTCCCAGTCCATGTTCCCTAACGGCGTCATCTACGAAGGTGTCTCCGAAACCCCCCTCTCCTTCCGCGGCGAGTCCGGCGCAAACGACAGCATGGTAAGCTAATCCCCCCCCCCCACCCTCACTCTTCCACACCACCCCAAGCTAACCCTCTCCCCCAGATCCCCCTTCTAGACAATCTCCTCTCCATCTCCATGCCCTCCACCCCCCTCACCACGATCCTCAAAGACTTCCGCTCCTACCGCCCCGGCAACCACCGCGACTTCCTCTCCCACATTGCCAACCTCTCCCTCTCCGTCTCCTTCAAGAGCTACGCGCTCTCCGAGTCGAGCTCTGCGCTCCGCTACCTCCGTCTTCTTGACCAGGTCCGGGATTTCCGCTATCGTCACTGGTGCTTCACTCGCGAGTACATCCTTAAGAAGACTGCGCATCCTACTGCTACTGGTGGAAGCCCTATTGTTACTTGGTTGCCTAACCAGCTTGTTGCGGTGCTTGATGCTATGACTGAGGCTGGGGAGGGTAAGTCGTTGAAGAGTGTTGCGGCGGGTAGCAAGACTGGGGAGGAGGTGAAGGAGATGTTGGATACGGCTGAGAGGCAGAGGGATGGCTTGAAGAAGGAGGTTGAGAAGTGGTGCTCTGACCGGGGTGTGCCGCTGCCTCAGGGGATTACACATACTCTCCAGGCTGTGGCTGCTCACTAGGGGGTTGAATGATTTTTATGATGGGGTGGCTGGTTTTGGTTTATAGGACAGATAACGGGATTGCCCAGAGCGGAATATTGGAAAATATTCATGACTTAGATCGATAGAACAATGTGTTAGAATGTAATTATTTATGACCATATTTGTGTTCTTGTTGCCTAGGGCTGTGAAGGTTGTGACCCGTTGCGCCTCTAGTCCGGGCGCCGATGAGGCGTCACCGTGACGCCATCCTCTGAAATGATGCCGCTCATAGGAGAATATCATAACATTTCTAATAAATAAACTATACACCGAGGCTGTACTGATGAAGTTGGTAAGCATGAAAAGGCTGCCTCGGCTCAAACTACATTCCCGTCATGTTTTCACCTATTATATTGACAACTTCTCAACTTCACCACCAACCACAAATGGCGATCACAAATATCGCGGCCTAGATATTGAACCGTCCCGCATTCATACTAAGTGTCGGGTTAGATATTGAACCGAAGCCAGAGTAAGATTTATTTTCTGGTTATTTTAATCAGTAATCCAAAATTTCTTCTGTATTTTGGAGTTTAATATCATTATTTCTCAAAATCTATTAAATCCGGCATCATGCCATGATATATAACATCCCTTCTCTAATCCAGATCACACAACACTCCGAGCAGATAAATTACATTCAAACCCACAGCCCATCACCATGTCCACCCCCCTCCCTCCACACTCACAGTCTGACACCACCATCACCGTCCCCTTCCCCGTCAGCCTCGCCCTCCACCCCATCATCAACGGCATCACCCAGCTCAAATTTCTGGGGAGCGCTTCAAACGAAACCTGGGCGGATATGTTGCTGTTTCTAACGTGGGAGTAAACTCAACCTGGCTTGGTAGTCACTTGGCAGTGTCGAACTTGTACGCATATGCCGTATGGCCTGGGACCCAACCGTCAATGTTAAAGCTACTCTAGATGATTGGACTCGCCTTACCTTTGGCCTTGGTCAGAGCGTCATCAATACCATATCCAAGATGTCTATGCAGTCATGGCCTGCATACGAGCAATATACCGGCAATCTTGGCATCCAGACCTTAACTGATATCCTCTATGCCCACTACGGCCCTAATCCTCCGTCGCGGATGACAAGACTGGGCAGATGCGGACTCTATTGGCATGGATCGTACAGTTTGGAATGGCACCGGGTTTGCTGGCCAGTACCCACCTGAGGTTGCAAGAAGATACGAGGGAATCGACACGACTCCCGATGATCTTCTTTTGTGGTTCCACCACGTCCCTTATACCCACCGCGTACACTCTGTCAAAATTAGGAAAGGCGACACGATTAAGATTGTTGGCAAACCGAACGGGCCAGAGCTCGCTCCCATTGATTATATCGTACTTCTGCCGAAGGGGATTATCGACTAAATTAATTTAATTGATGTGCTATAATTCTGAGTAGTCTATACGATACAAGTATTGGCATTAGATAAGACTATAGTAGCAAATATACATTCTACAGCTTCAATCCTCTCTTTCGCCCTCGCATCCATGCTGTCGGATGGCGATTGATCCCATAACGCCAACTAATCCTCATCCACGGTATATGTGTTGCAGCTCATGTACAAAAATGATATTCACACTATGCAACGCCAACCAGCAACTCTCAACAGCCCCTCAAATCCTTGGGTACCTTGCTACCACATATTCCAAACTTCGGACAAATCACGTTATGCTTAATTCTCCTTCATCCGTTTCGAAGGGCGTGCCAGTGTGTCGTCAGGGAGGCCACTCCGTTTCGTCCCGGGCAGACTGCCAGTGCGGATGTCATTGTCATCCTGGCTCACTCTGCGATGAGGATATTCTGTCTTCATGCCCTCGAAACAGTTGCTGGACACCTTGTCGCCTGTACTGAAGAACGGGTGCTCTAATGCCTGTTGAGCCGTAAGCCGCTTATCAGGATCGTATTCCAGCAAGCCTGCTAGTAGTTTATACCCCTCGGCGCCCAGAGAGGAAGAGGCTGGCTGAGAAGTTCCTGAATGCTGCCCAATGGTGGAGTAATACCAGCTCTCGAGCTTGGAACCCGCGGGCTTCCCATTCGGCTGTACCGGGGCATGGAGCGAAGAAAGGTTGGCATATTCTGGCATCGAGACCAAAAGCGGCCATTTATCTTTCGTTGGTAGGCCCATAATGTCGATGATCTTCTGCATCTGGTGTCTTTGAAATGGCACCGTCTTCTTTGAATCCATCTTGGCTTCTTCTCCTTTGAAAATGGGTCGTAGAGATAACAGCTCCGCAAAAATACATCCCACCGCCCACATGTCTATAGCAGGGGTATAGTGCCGGCTCCCCAAAAGCAACTCGGGTGCTCTGTACCAAATTGTGACAACGACCTTATCCCCGCTGAATAATGAGTGCAGAGGCTTGCTGAAAAGTCGAGCCAGTCCCAAATCTCCAATTCGAACTTCTCCAGCAGATGTTACCATGATGTTTGCAGGTTTTAAGTCTCGGTGCAGGACCCAGTTGCTGTGCAGGTACTGACAGCCGTTCAGTAACTGAAACATGATACTTTTAACTGTTGCGGGTGGTATTGGATGGCGCGTTGGTTGTGTGTGGTGGTGGATGATTTGCAAGAGATCGTGCTCCGCATACTCGAAGACCATGTAGATGCATTTATCCTCCAATATGATCTCAATAAGTTTGATAACATTAATATGGCTCAGTTCGGAGCATAGCGCCATCTCTCGCACAGCTGACTGCGAAATTCCGGTGTAATGAATCTGTTCGCCCTCCTTGTCTGGCTTGAACTTCTTGATCGCAAATTCCCCTGTCTGTCCAATGCGGCCTGCCGCTTTGTAAACTCGGCCATAAGTACCACTACTAATGAACCCGATGACCTTGTATCGGTCAACTACGCGGACCTTGCTCTGATATGCAACATGGCCGCTGCTTCTGTTCGCGGGTTCTATGAAGTGTTAGCAGAGAACAAGCAAGCGAAGAACAGAACATAGGACCTCGCAGACCCAAATACGGGTCGCTCCAGTACGCATCGAATCTTTGAGGAAACATCTTTTCAGGTGCAACGACGACTAGAGGCAACACTTTGCCACTATATAAACGCAGGAGTACTCCGCTATTGGCGGAGTTGAGAAGCGCAACGCGACGTGACGGGAAAGTCCAACAAGAGCATCTCAGTAATTAAAGAAGTCTGTTTTGTCACCTTCAAAGGCCTGCTGCACACTCCTCTTTAGGTTTTGTTTTGCCGCAGCTGCAGATGATGGCCCGCTGGCCGAAGAAGGCGGGTTATTGTTGGCCAGGCTCATTGCTGTCTATCATGCTCCACCCGAGACGGAACGGCGCGGCGTGGGGGGGAGGGGGCGATTCCCCAACACGAGCTGCTTTCAAGGCTCAGGCGAGATATGCAGGCGTGTCTCGGGCGCCGACGGGCCTCGGAGATTTCCAAAAAGGGGGGAGGTGGTGAAGGAACGAGCTCCGGATAGTCCGGCGATAGGATGATGAGAGGGAACGTAGGACAAGAGCTGCGTGTACGTCGCTCTTTTAGGCTTGATAATATATGTCTTTATTTACGTCAGTAGAGGGGGTTTGAATCCATGTGGTGAGATTATGCAGAAAGGGTAGATCTCCAGGAGGTTCAATGGAAAGGGCCCAATATGGAAAGTGGGTGGTGGTGGTGGATGTGGCTTCTGGGTTGGTTGTCATATATATCAAATCTGTGGACTTGTGGTTGGGGGAAGGTGGTGGGGGTGTATTAATACGGATACGCGTTCGGAGGTGGTGTGAGTTTATCCGGTGGCCATAGGGCAAAATCACGGGGAAGAGTTGATCCAGACACGCCCACCGCTACCCGCGTGGTACGCCAGCGCGGTGATCGTGTGTGGTGAGGCTATCAACTGTTCCACCAGCATCCCGAAGGGATATATACAGGTAAAACAGCTCTGAGAAGCAAACAACAAAGTGAAATACACCCTCAATCTTCCATCTAGTGATAGAGACACCGCTATTCATACACTATACATGTGACGACTTGCTACTGTGCGCCGGAATCCCTTCGATCGAAGAGCTACGACCTGACCTGCAATATAAAAGTGAAGCGGAACACTTAGCTAGAAGACAGCCCGCGCAGCCCACCATGGCCTCATCAGGCCTATCGGGCATGCGAAAATGTGTCCGGAATCTCACTCCATACCTCGTCTTCATGATGTCCATCATAACCCTTGGGCCCCTGCTCTTTGGCTTCCATCTCGTATGCTTCTCCGCGCGTCCCCATGCCTCTCTATACCCCTCACAACACTGCCGATTACTAACTTACATTTTCCCCAGGCCGAGCTTAATGCCCCAGAAGACTACATAACCTGCAAGAAAGGGAGGACTACAGGGATGCCCAAAGGCGCGACCCTCATACCATGCATCCCAATGGACAAGGCACAGTTCGCCTTCGTTTCCTCGATCTTTACAATTGGCGGCCTCTTCGGAGCACTCTTAGCAGGCCCAGTTTCGACCAGTTTTGGCCGCCTCCCAGCAATGCGCATCTCTGCGATCTTCTATGTCCTCGGTTCTGCCATCACAATGTGGAGCGCAAGCATCAGTGCATTCGCAACAGGACGCTTTCTACTTGGCATCGGCGCCGGAGCGAGCGTCGTCGTCGTCCCAATTTATATCTCGGAAGTCGCTCCTCCCACAGACCGCGGGATCTTTGGGTTCCTCACACAGATCGCGACGAACATGGGCATCCTCATTACTCAGATCCTCGGTTACTACCTTAGCTATTCTATACTATGGCGTTTCATCCTTGCTGCGGGAGGTCTCATAGGCCTTGTGCTCTTGTTCGGCCTCTTCCTCGTCCCAGAATCTCCCGCCTGGACCGCCGCGAACCGCTCCCCAGGACGCGCCCTCGCAACACTGAAACGTCTACGCGGGCCACATGCCGACGTTTCCGAAGAGATTCAAACCTGGGACTGCACCTTCTCACCGTCCGATCCGCAGCTGAGCGAATCCACGACAGTCCTCCTCGAGCCTGAATCGCAGTCTCGACGCTCATCCATCAGCACCTCTTCCAAGCCTCCGCCCCGCGCCCACGTCGGCATCATAGCCGTGGCTCTCTCCCCCATCTACCGCCCTGCCATCATCGCCGTCGTAGGCGTAATGTGCGTGCAACAATTCACCGGTATAAACTCCGTAATGATGTACTCCGTCTCCGTCCTCACCGACCTCTTCCCCACCTCCGCCACCCTCCTCACAATCCTCATCTCAATCGTCAACCTTATCGCCACCACCGCGTCCGCACCCCTCCCCGACATCCTCGGCCGCAAATCCCCCCTCCTCATCTCCATCACCGGACTGGGTTTCAGCTCAGCCGCCCTGGGCGCCTCAATCCTGTTCTCCCTCCCCGCCCTATCCGCTGCCTCCATCCTCCTTTTCGTCGCCTTCTTTGCCACGGGCCTAGGGCCCATCCCATTCATGATGGCCTCTGAGCTAGTCAGCACGGAGGCCAAGGGCGCCGCGCAGTCATGGGCGCTAGCGACGAATTGGATCGGCACGTACCTTGTAGCGCAGTTCTTTCCTATCTTGAATGATGGCGTGAATGAGGCGCTGGGTGGCGCCGGATGGTTGTACTTTGGGTTTGCGGCTGTGGCGGCCGTGGGAGTGTTGTTTGTGAGCCGGTTTGTGCCGGAGACGAAGGGCAAGAGAGATGCGGATGAGGTGTGGGGGCGGGTTAGGAGGGTTGATTGAGTTGTGTGTTAATGGCGTGATAGGGGGTGTTTATTGAGCAAGGTGTTATGCAGGCATAGGGATGTCGATTGGGCAGGGTGTTGCGGGGTGGGCTTGAATGGTGTTCTGGATGGTGTTCTGGATGGTGTTCTGGATGGTGTTCTGGATGGTGTTCTGGATGGTTTCTGGATGGTGTTCTGGATGGTGTTCTGGATGGTGTTCTGGATGGTGTTCTGGATGGTGTTCTACTATGGGCATTGAGCGACTGGTGTATTTGATAATCCATGGAATTCACTACATAAAACTTTCACTCCTATTGTTTCCCACGTAGCTCTGCAGACATTCCTTTCGTGACCATGAGAAAGATATATAATTTTGTCGCTATGAACCACTTACCTCCCCCCATCTCTATCATCTACCCCCCTCTCTATCTCGGTCCGAGCTTCTCCAGCGCCCGCGCCCCCTGCTCCTCCCACTCCTGCTTGCTAATCCACATCGCCTCCTTATCCGCCATGATATTCGCCAGCACCGCGCCACCCAGGAACACCATGTGTCTCCTCCTCGGCGGGTCCTCAATGCGCACCTTGAACTTGCCCAAGCGCTCTGGGTTCCCGCCCAGAACGCGCGTGAGCCACAGCTGCTTGAGCTCCTTCTCGAGGCGCGACGGCAGGCCGGGGTACATGCTGCTGCCGCCTGAGAGCACGATGGCCTTGAAGAGGGAGGAGCGCACGTCGACGTCAGCGGCCTGGATGGTGTTGAAGAGGAACTCGGCGATGCCGGGTTGCTCGACGTCGACGAGGTGGGGCTGGAAGAGGCATTCGGCGGCTTCGAAGCGCTCGCTGCCGACGCGGATGACGCGGCCGTCGGGGAGGGTGTAGCTCTCTACCAGGACGGTAGTTTCCTCGGAGAGCTTCTTGTCCAACTCCAGGTCGTACGAGACGTAGCAGAGCTTCTCCTTGATCTGGCGCGCGGTCTCGAAGTCGGCGGTACGGTTGAGGGCGTATCCGCGGCGGGTGAGCAGGGAGATTAGGTTGCGGGTTACGTCGCGGCCGGCGACATCGAGGCGGCGCGTGAGGTGGTTTAGAACGGTGGATTCGTAGACAGGGACAATGTGGGTTACACCGTCACCGGAGTCGACAACGACACCGGATGAGAGACCTGGGGAGTGAGTGTGAGTAGAGAGGGCTAGGCTGGGGGGATGGGGGGATGAAAACAGGGGTTAGAGTACCTTGTGCGTAAAGCGCGAGAACTGCCTGGATGGCAACGTATACGCCGCCGAACTGGTACCGCTCAAACATAACTTCGCACATCTGCTCCCTGTTCTTGAGAGGGTTCATAGGCGGCTCTGTCAGGAGGATCTTCCGCCCTGTCGTGTCCACCTTCATCTTCTCGTAGAAAGTATAGTCCCATAGGTGCTGCATATCATCCCACTTCTTGACAATGCCATTCTCCATCGGGTATGAGACCTGTAACATGGTCCTCGCTGCCGCTGCTTCGTCACCACACATGATATCCTTAATTACAGAGGTGGGGTCGCCCTTTTCTTCGGAACGCAGGATCGGTCTTCCGACGATAGAGGGGTATTGGAATTCGGGGAAGTTCTAAGATGCATTGTCAGGGCCGTACTCGTGGTGGTGCTGAAGGGGGAGAGAGCTTACCTGGGCCGCGTAGCCAACCTTGAGGAAGCCGGTTCCGCCATCGAGGACTACGGACAGTGTTAGAAGAGGGATTGAGGGCAGTACAGAGGAGAGTAGAAGTACCAATAGGGGCCTCCGCCATGATTGCGGTTTGTGGAAGCTCAAGATGTTGGATGCGCCAGCCACAGAAATAGAAAAGGCGTAGGCTGAAGTGGGTGAGAGAGTGAGCTTCGATCGCTTCTGTGACGTTGCGGCTTGGGCTGGGGTAACTGCGGGCACCGCGGCGGGCACCGCGGGGTGGCCAGGTCACGTGCGGAATGTCATCAACGCAATAAGATTTATATTGTCAAATACCATTGCGCGGCAGACTATTATAATGTTATGATATGGAGGCAATGGAAAAGTAGGTCTTTGACAGAAAATTTAAGCTGTTCCTTGATCCTTCTTCTCCCACTCGTGATAATTACGTCCTGATGACTCGATACGAATTATCAATTCCTCAATCACGGCCGCATCACGGGTTCCACTTTTCATATTTGGCCCTTCAACGCCCTTCATCCCCCTCCCTCCCACATTTCTCTCTTCCCAGAAACATCATAAACATCGTAAACACCGCATATCCCCCATCTACTGCCCGACGTTCAGAAACGAAACAAAATCTCAGTGTATGTAGTCTGGCTATTAACATTCCGCTGTCGTTGCAAGCTGTTCTAACTCGCTTTTGAACAGGAACATGGCCGCACTACCAGGACCTCTCTCTCCACAGAGACCTGCAGACCTTCTTCTACCGCAGCCACCAAAAGAAGTTCAAATCCTCATCATTAATCCAAACTCAAATAGAGATATGTCTGTCGGTATTGGCAAACTGATCAAGGGTCAATCCTACCCTCCGGAGGTATGTCGTCTCTTATGATCGCTTCTCTGCAATCCTCCCAAAGTCATACTGTTTTACCTCTTACTCTCTACTCTCATTTTATTACTTGGTTGAATAGACGTAGCTAAATTTATCAGCATACCAAACTCATAACCTTTACCGCCTCATCTGGCGCCACCAGCATTGATAATAAGGCGGATGCTCTCGCCAGCACCAAGGTCATATCCTATGATATCGCACAAGCGACCCCTTACTTTGCCGCCAGAGATGCCTTTATCGTTGCTTGTTACAGCCCTCATCCTCTCGTTTCAGTACTCCGCAACCACCCTTCCCTCTACCGGAAACCCGTGATCGGCATCTTCGAAGCAAGCATCAGTGTCTCGCTCAGCATGCTCCCCCTTTCGGTTCCAAAAGAGTATGTTGACCTGCCAGTTACTGCGGATCCGCAGCCCGCGGCACGAAAGTTCACAGGCACCAAGTTTGGCATCGTGACGACAGGCGCGGGATGGGTTCCGGTCCTTACGGCAGGTGTTAACGACTATCTCGGTTTACCAGCCAGCGAGACTTCCCAATCGGCGAGGTTCAAAGGAGTGGCGACCACGGGGCTCACTGCGGAGCAGTTGCACACTACTCCACAAGAGGAAGTGAGGGAGAGAGTGGTTAAGGCCACAAGACTGCTAGTTGCGGATGGCGATGTGGCTGTTGTCGTATTAGGCTGTATTGGCATGGCTGGCATGGACAAGTGGGTCGAGGATGCCTGTGTGGAAGAATTGGGACGTCGAGCTGCAAGCCTGGTGAGGGTTGTGGACGGGATTAAAGCTGGAGTTGCACTGGCAGTAGAAGAGGCCAGGCATATGAAGCAATTGGGGTACCGAGAAGCACCCGCAGCTGATGACGCCACGGTCATAGATGCGGAGGCGTATTAAGTGATGGCTAGAGCCCATGTCGAGGGAGCGAGACTAGATTACCTGTGCTGCCCAGAAGTTTGAAGAGGGACTGTGGATACAAGTAGAGATTATAACAGCTATAATTAAAATAAAGGCTTTCAATTACTATGGGATATGGGCTATGATCGTCACATTTATTATTCAGAAATACAGATCAAGAGTTAATTACTATTGTCTTAAACTCCTGGCATCGATCCTCAGCTATACACTGTACAGTACAGTTCCTCCACAGACTTTTGGACGGCAGGAGCAGCAGCATGCGACGCAATACTTTTGGACTATATTAGATTTTGTTTTCCTAAGAAGTAACAATGCGTGTACCTGGCTCTTCGGCTCTTCGTCTCTCCGGATTTAATTATCTCCTTTGTTCATCATCACGCAGCAAATGGGTATCTCAAAGCCTCCATCCTTTTCACATCTCCCCCGGTCCCAGCCAACGCCTCAATTGACAATAGTCCTGTAAATCCCTCTCCCCTCCAACGCCTCTTCCCCTCCCTCAGGCACTTCCCCAACCACCCTTCCTGGACGCCCTGCCACAACCGAAAAACTCGGTATCACCATCCCCGGCGGCACGACCGTCCCATCCAGGATCCGCACGCAGTCCTTGATGAGCGCGAACTTGCCAATCACACAGTCCTTCCCGATATGCACTTTATTCCCCACTATCGCCGCCTCCACGATCGAGTTCTGCCCAATGAAGACGTGATCAGAGAGCTTGAGAGGGTGGTAGCTAAAGACCCTAAACCATCTTGTTAGCTTAATTCCCCAAGTCCAGCCAACAAAGGCAGTCGCGTGACTAGGAAACACATACCCCTTCATCACCCGCCCAGGCGGCTTCAACACACATCCCCGACTAAGGAAGCAGTACCGCCCAATCGCGACCGCGACCGCGACCACAGGCGCCTTCTTCTCTGTCCCACCAGCCGGCGCGTCGAGCGTGCGCACCAGGTCGCCGCGGATGATAACTTCCGCCTGGATGACGGATTTGCCGCCGAGGATGATATTCTGGGTGCCGATGATCTGCGACTTGCGGCTTACTTTGTTGCCCGTGTCCTGTGAGAAGAAGCCAAGTCAGTTACGGTGACGACGGGGTGGGTCGCCGGAAGGAGGTGCTCCGGATCGCGCAATGGGCAGGCACGACGCGGTGGAAGGCGGAAGGAAACGTACTGTCTCGATATATTCTCCGCGAGGGGGTTTGCGAGACATGTTTTCGCGGTGGGCGTTTACATAGCTGGTTTGAAGCAGGAGGGTGGTATGTAGGCTATTTATTGAGACGAGGAGCTCTTTGATATGGGGAGGCTGCGCTAAACCGTTGTTTCCAGCCACAGAGGCGGTGGTGGGGGGCAGTATAACTTGGGTTGTTCGAGTGGGGGGTATGCTGATGCCTACGTAGGTACTATCTATACATACATTGCCCCTTGAAATGACGTTTCCACCTCTTCCTGCCTATAATCTGTCATCTGGCAGGTCTCAAGCTGAACATCGCAACAAAACTGATAACTCGTCATCTGCGATAATGCAGGTTCCCTTGATCCGCCTCCAATGCGGGGTAAATAGCTACGATTGGGGTAAGGTTGGCAACGACTCTGCTGCCGCCAGGTTCGCTGCTGCTACGCCATCCGATTTCTCGATTCAGGAGGAGAAGCCATACGCAGAGGTTAGAATATGTGGTACCTTTTTCATAATGTATGCTAATGCCCCAATAGCTATGGATGGGAACTCACCCCTCCAACCCTTCGAAGGATCTCACCACCCAACGAACCCTGCTCGACCTCGTCCAGGACAACCAAGCTCTTCTCTCTAAAGATATAGCGGAGAGATTTGGAAACAAGCTGCCCTTCCTCTTCAAGGTCCTCTCAGTAGGAAAGGCATTGAGCATCCAAGCCCACCCCCACAAGAAGCTCGCGGAAGAGCTGCACAAGAAGGATAGCAAGAACTATCCCGATGACAACCACAAGCCAGAGATGACCATTGCAATCACAGAATTTGATGGCCTCTGCGGATTCAGGCCTCTGGCAGAGATTGCCCACTTCCTGAAGACCATCCCAGCTCTGAGGGACATCGTTGGGGACTCCGAAGCTGCCGCGTTTGAGTCCGCCATCAAAGGCCAAGACACCTCCACCGAGCCAGCCGCCGAAACACAAAACAAAAAGGCCCTCCAGAAGCTCTTCGGAACCCTGATGAACTCCACCCCCGAAGCCGTCACCAAAGCCTGCGACGCCATCGTCCAATCCGCCTCCTCGGAAGGCGCCTCCTTCGCCTCCGGCGGCCTCCCCTCCACCTCTGGCGAAACCCTCGCCACGCTTGTCGCACGCCTCAACTCCCAATTTCCCCAAGACATCGGACTCCTCGTCTTCTTCTTCCTCAACTACGTCCAGCTATCCCCCGGCGAAGCCATGTTCCTCAAAGCCGACGACATCCACGCCTACCTATCTGGCGACATCATCGAGTGCATGGCCGCCTCCGACAACGTCGTGCGCGCAGGTTTCACGCCCAAGTTCAAGGACGTGCCTACCCTCGTTGACATGCTGACGTACTCGTATGCCCCTATCGAGGAGCAGAAGATGGAGCCGCAGGACTACGCGTACGCGACGCTCAACAGCACCGCCTACACATCGTCGAGCCAGGCGATGCTGTATAACCCCCCAATCGACGAGTTCAGCGTCGTGAAGGCGGATTTGAGGCGTAAGGGCGCGAAAGCGACGTTTGAGGCGATCGCGGGGCCGAGTATTGTGCTGTGCACGAAAGGGAGCGGGTATATTGTGGTTGGGCCGACGATTGAGGAGATCAAGGAGGGGTATGTGTATTTTGTTGGCGCAACGGCGGAGTTGGTGTTGGAGAATAATGGGGAGGAGGAGTTTACGTGCTTCAAGGCCTTCTGTGAACTGGAGAACAACGCGGAGGAGGCAGCGCACACCGAGAAAGAGAAGTTATAGACAAGTTCTGTTTTCTTGCTTCGTAAACGAATGCAACGCAGCGGCTTTGGTAGAGAGATTACCCATCAAAAATGTATACAATAAATGAAAAGTCAGATTGTGGTATAAATATAATGATCTAAAAATGGTCTCTTTTGATTTTTTAGTCGCTTATCCAGACGCAACATTGCTTCTATCCGTTATATGCATTCCCCAAGCCCTTCAAGTAGATACATAAAACGCCGTGCAGCCACTCTTCAGGGAGTAATATATCATGTGAGAAATGCGTTGGACCTTTTCCGTCTGGTGCAGTGTTCCGAGTCGCTTGCGCGTTTATATAGTAATGTTGTATATAGTGTCGATTTTTTGCGGAGAATGTGGTCTGGGAAGTAGGTGGCGGTTTATGTTGGACATGTGGACAGGTGATCCAGGGTATTGGTTAAGAGAATTTTATCAAGCAGTCTCCATGCTCAGCATGTGGCCCATCTTCTCAATCTGTATCGTCGTTAGCAGGGCTCGTGATGCAAAATTTAGCAGAGAAATAGCTTACCTTCGTCCTTAAATACTCCCCAACTTCAGCACTTTTAATTCCTCCCTTACCCCTCCACGCTAATGGCACCATTGCCACACGCTCCTTCACCACAACCTCCCTATTAGGTCCTTCAACTGCACGCACCTTATCAGGATTATTCGTCAGAAGCCTAATCTCACTCTGGCCCAAATCCCGCAGCATCGCCGTCGCCAGCCCATAGCTCCTCGCATCCGCCGGATGCCTTAGCAGAATATTTGCCTCCACCGTATCGCTTCCCAGATCTTGCAAATTATACGCCTTTAATTTCTCGCCAAGCCCGATCCCGCGGCCCTCCTGCCGCAGGTACACTATAACCCCGCCACTCGACCCCGGCAGTGCCATCAGCCGTGCCGCCTCATCTAGCTGCTCGCCACAGTCGCAGCGTGCACTCCACGCCGTCTCGCCTGTGTAGCACTCAGAGTGTATCCTCACGAGCGGGGTGTCACTCTTGGCGACCTCCGATTGCGAGCCGGGGAGCTGGCTCGTCGTCCGTCCAGGGTACAGGCGCCCTGTGTAGGCGCCACGGATCATGCGATCCATCTCCGTCTCTCCGGAGCGCACAGCGTCCAGGCTGCTACTGCGGATGGTGTTACCGAAGACAATGGCGAGATGCTCCTTCTGGTCGACGTTGTTGGTGTACAGATGCAGGAACATCTCGGTGCCGGTGGTGGTTGGGATGCGAGCGCGCACCACGCATGCCACCTCGGGGAGGACCTCGAGGAGGCGCGGCTTCTTGGCGCCGCACCCGCCATCGGGTATGCTGCTGTCGACGGGGACAGAGGCAGCTTCGCGATTTTGGGCGGGCGTGGCGGTCCCAGGGGTTGCCGGGGGAGTGAAGGCGGGGCTGACGAAGCCGGGGAGGGCCTCTCCCTCGGAGGAGGAGAGGCTCATATATGATGGGAGAGCGGAGGCTTGTGGTCTTTCGGGTTGCGCGCTGTCTTGCGCTTTGAGGTCGTGTTCGGGGACATTATGAGGGGTGGAGGTGTTGAGGCGGGGCGAGTAGAAGGGGGGAAGGTGTGAGTCGTGCTCGCGTGCTTGGTCGTGTCCCTCAGCCATAACGGCGCATTCGCGGCTTTAAGCTGTACAGCACAATGGCAATGTCAGTGGCAATTGCACGGTAGCACGGTAGCCGGTGTTTTCGAGTCGTAGAATTGGTTATATAGAGCGTGGTTCGGTATATGTATTTGGGGAAGTAAGGGGATTCGGCTTGGGCCGGCAAGCCCGAGGTCGCTTGTCCCTCACTTTCTAAGGGCCTAGGCAAAACGTGCCTTATCCGTCGTAATCAATGATAAGCAGTGTGTGCACGTGCAATGACGAAAAAGCTGCTCCCCTGAGTCAGCTTTTTCGTCATTGCACGTTCACCAATCAGCAATCAGCATATGATTACGTAGTGGTACTCGTACTGAGTAGTACGGAGTCACGAGGTTGGTGTAAGCGAGAAACAAGCGTGGTTTGTGGCGGTTGTGGGGGTTGTGGCGGGGTGTGGCGGGGTGTGGCGGTGCTAGTCCCCAATTGAACCCGGTTTTCCATCACATGACATCCCATATTCGGCGCAATGTGGCTAGTGAACCGCAAGGGGAAATTAAGGGTGGTGGAAACGTGGAAACTCCTCCAACCCCCCCTGAGGACTGCCGAGAGACATTGAGCGGCTATCGCGTGTGTGTCCACACTCTGGAGATTGAAATAATTTAACTTGCGAATGCAAACTTCCTGCGTAAATTTACTGAGTCCTCCTGAAAGCTCTTTTCAGCTGTCCTCTATTTACGTTGGTGGTACGATCAATTCCGCGACGTCGCGCCCCAGATAAACACTCCCCCGACCTACACGCGACCCTCTCGAATTTCGTGTTTCGCATCGCATTCCCCTAGTCAACTTGCACCAACCCCGCGACTCTCTCAGCTATCGCCGACACCTGTGCATCTCAGTCTTGCAATTAAAGCATACGAAGAACCAACGAAAGACCGTCTACCTGACTCTCACGCACGCGCTCCACCGCCAACATGGGCGGCCAGATTTCAAAGATGATGAGCAAGGTCTTCGGATCGAAGGAGATGCGCCTCCTGATGTTAGGACTCGATGCTGCGGGGAAGACCACTATTCTGTACAAGCTGAAGCTCAACCAAGACGTGACGACTATCCCAACTGTCGGGTTCAACGTCGAGACCGTCACATACAAGAATGTCAAGTTCAACGTGTGGGATGTTGGAGGACAAGACAAGATTAGACCCCTATGGAGACACTACTATTCAGGTAAGACATCACTGTTATAGCGCTGATGCGTTTAAAGCTGCAAATTCTAACATTGTGGTACAGGCACTCAGGGATTGATCTTCGTCATCGACTCTTCAGACCGCGAGCGGATAGAAGAGGCGAGCCAGGAACTACACCGCATTATCGGCGACCGTGAAATGAAGGAGAGCCTGCTGCTCGTCTTCGCCAACAAGCAAGATATCCCAGGAGGTGCGTTTAGCCCAACCCCAGCTCCTTTCACATGCAAGACTGACCATCCTCCAGCCATGACCCCCCAGGAAGTGACCGACAAGCTGCGGCTCAACATTCTAAAAGACAAGATCTGGTACGTGGTGCCAAGTTGCGCCACAACCGGCGAGGGACTCCTCGAAGGCCTCGTAAGACCCCCTTCCCCCCCTTTCCCCAACCGCGCTAACCCGCTCCAGGCCTGGCTCTCCAACAACGTCAAGGCGCCGCCAGCAGGCACAGTCAAGAAGTAACCGGTCCTGCACACGTACATCATACGATCACCATAAACGAAATTGTCACGGTCGTTCTTTCTTTTCCATTGTCATGCGCGCTTCATTTGCATCCATACTGTCTAGCGTTTCCTGTCGGCGGCGATACCACACTCTGCTTCGCTCACCTCGTCTCCTGGCTCCGCGTCCCTGTCAGGTCGGCTCGACCGCTTACGCGTCGGGACTGGGTTGGCAGGGGGGTCGCGGGGTGGCTGGGGAGAAAGCTTATATATATTTTGTAATTGTAATACTATCTGTTGGGGACGGTAAACTGGCGGATTGGAGGATTTTTAGGGGTGATTTGGGGAGGAGGGGAGGTTTGTTATTGTCGTGTCGGTGGAGATAGATTAGATTTATCTTATATTTACAGACTATTTTAGGGACTAAAGATGGTTTTTGTGCCGTGCTTGTATGAGAATGCTGGTTGCTGTGAGATTTTCCCCTGACCGACATGGTTTGCCTATTCAACCTAATTGCTGCGTAAGGATGCACAGCTTAGACGGGCATGTCTATCATGGTATCCAAGAAGTGACAGCAGTGTTGCCCGAGTACTACTCAGAGTACTACTCAGATATCTTCGAGTAGAGTACTGTTTTTTGGGCTCCAGTAGAGTAGTACTCGAGTATAAAAATGAAAACATGATTGATAGCTATATAGACTATGAAAATACAGTAACTATGCATCCTCATCTTCCTCTGAATCCTCACATGCTGATACCATGCCCCAATTCCTAAGACATCTAAGATGTCGTAGTGTAGATGGTGCTAATCTGTTCCGTTTCTTTGTAATAATATCGCCACCAACACTAAACACTCGCTTAGATTCCGCTGATGTAGCAGGAATTGCTAAATGATCTTTGGCAATTGCGGCAAGTATTGGATATTGGTATTGCTTACTTGCCCAAAACTTGAGTATATCAATTTTAGGCCCAAGAGTTGGCTCATTCATCTAGCGCTTCCACTCTGGATCTAAATCTGGCTGCCGTTGTGAGACATATAGCTCATTCTCAGAATCAGACTCTGTCTTCTTAGAATTTTCATCTTCTAATTCCTCATCTTGGATACTTTCCATAACCTTTGCTGCTTGGATGTCTAATGCCTTGCCTGAATATTTATAATAACAGTCTTGCCATTGTGCTTTTTCCCGCCTTTTTTGCGTGTCTTGAATGCTTTTTGGCCAAATAATATCAAATACGTTAAAGTTATAACGTAGGTCGCATATTGTAGCTATAGTTGAATGACTCCGCTGTTGATTTGTTACAAGTGTATAATACTCATTAAGCTTTTTTAATGCTGCTAAACAACTGTCGTATATTGTGCTATTCTCTGTATATCCAGCTTTAAAGACTTTAAGCTTTTGTGTCATTCTCATATACTGTACAGCAGCATAATTTAAAGTTGTAAGGACACAGGGCACCCAGCTCACAGTAATAGCATATGAGAGTGCGAGTCGGAGGCTAAACGGATGCTATCCTATAGGTCTACTATGAAGGATACAAAAAAGATGAAGGGGGAACCCCGTTAAGTCTGTTTCCTTAAGTACCCGAAACGGGCCCGACTCGGTTATCCCAACCCTAGCCCTGAACCTTCCACCGCAACAGGTCCGCATCGACCCTGAACCATACACCCTTACCGTCCCCCACTATAGTGTAACTCGCTATGTGCTCCTCTACTGGTTCGGAACTGTTACGATTACAGTGTCATACTGACATTCGTTGCACTCAGTTTGCTATCAAACTCAAGAGCAAACTTGGAAATCTCCTCCTCAAACCTACAAGTCACTATACATATTTTGGCTTATCACACCAACAACAAGAGCAATACTACTCAACGATTGCTACAACCATCTATGATTCATTACACGTCATCGCTCCTTAGTTACTGGGCTGATATTACCACATAGCATATCTCTACAACCCTCTATGATTCATTACATGACATCACTCATACTACCACATGACATATCTCTACCAACTAGAGGCCTAGGAGCATGAACGATAGCTCTAAAAGCTCCTACGAACCTCTATGATTCATTACATGTCATCGCTCTTTAGTTACCCACAAGATTGGTTAAGTTATGACATAATTTGTCTATGACATAATTTGTCTATGACATAATTTGTCTATAGGGGTACTCTGACCTTGGACCTCCTCTTACTTCCTATAGGGCTACGAACCTAAGAGATGGTTCTATGGGATTCTCTTACGTCGACTACAGTTACCAAGCCTGGTAATCATGGAAAGTCTTGGAAAATGAGAGAACTGCACTCCTTTAGCATAAATAGGATTGCCCTTTCCTTAAGAAAGGGCAAGCAGACAATACAGTAAATCGACTATCACATACTTCCACGTCTTTTCCAAGCTTCCAAGCATTCATCTTGTTACTCCTTGTTTCTGAAAAGTCAGTGAGGTGTTAACCTCTGACTTACCCCTGATGTCATACTGACATTCGTTGCACTCAGTTTGCTATCAAACTCAAGAGCAAACTTAGAAATCTCCTCCTCAAACCTACAAGTCACCATACATATCTTGGCTTATCACACCAACAACAGAAGCAATACTACTCAACGATTGCTGCAAACTCTTCTACTACATCTGTTTATGCTACATACATCACGGCATATCATTTGGACACTCATTGAACAAGTTATTAAGAAAATCTCCTCCTTAAGGGGGTGGGCCAATACTACCACATGGCATATATCTACCAACTAGAGGCCTAGGAACATGAACGATAGCTCTAGAAGCTTCTACAACCCTCTATGATTCATTACACGTCATCGCTCCTTAGTTACCCACAAGATTGGTTAAGTTATGACATAATTTATCTATAGGTACTCTGACCTTGGACCTCCTTTTCACTTCCTATAGGCTAGGAACCCAAGAGATGGTTCTATGGGATTCTCTTACGTTCACTACATGATTAGCAAGCTAGTTGTGGGTCGCACTTGATTTCTAATACATTTACCAAGCCTGGTTAGTCATGGAAAGTCATGGAAAATGAGAGAACTACACTCCTTTGGCATAAATAGGATTGCCCTTTCCTTAAGAAAGGGCAAGCAGGCAATACAGTAAATCGACTAGCACATACTTCTACGTCTTTTCCAAGCTTCCAAGCATTGATCTTGTTATTCTCTGTTTTTGAAAAGTCAGTGAGGTGCTAACCTCTGACTTACCCCCGAGTTCCCAGACTCAACATTTGTTGCAACTTGTCTAACCCACTTCACTACATCACACACCTGATTGCTGCGTTGTGGAATAGTCTAAGCTACAACCCTTTGGCTCTGTTTCCTAAGACAGTGTGTTGTCTTAGTAAATTCATCCCTTCCTTGGGTGGCTAGATTCTCATATCTGGTGCACCCACCATTACACCTGAGTTCCCAGACTCAACATTTGTTGCAACTTGTCTGAACCACTTCACTACATCACACACCTGATTGCTGCGTTGTGGAATAGTCTAAGCTACGACCCTTTGGCTCTGTTTTCTAAGACAGTGTGTTGTCTTAGTAAATTCATCCCTTCCTTGGGTGGCAAGATTCTCACATCTGGTGCACCCACCATTACACCTTGTCTGCTTCAAGCTTCAACTATTTCTATAGCAGCACTTCGATACTACAATGGAGGACGACCAAGCTCCTACAACTACTGCTGAACAGCAGATGCAACAACTGTTTGCCTTTATACAAAATATAGCAAACAAACTTGAGAATTTGGAAAACACCTTTCAAGCCAACACTTCAGCAACACAATCCTCAACTCAGACACATCATACAGAGCTTCCCACAGCTCCTCTGGCTATGTCGGGTACCCCAGGTGCACTTCCTAAAGTGCAAACACCAGATTTATACCATGGAGACAGGAGGAAGTTGAAGGGATTTCTTATGCAACTGGACATCTACTTCACCCTCAGGCCTCATCAGTTCACCTCAGACATTCAGAAGATATATTTCGCTGCCAGCTACCTCCGTGGATCTGCATTCAACTTCTTTGAGCCATATCTTAGAAGACTTAGTGGCAACAACCAAAATACCACTACACCTTTGATTACCTCTTATGACCAGTTTCAAGAGGAACTTACCAGGACCTTTGGAGACATCAACGAAACTGCTACAGCAGAAAGAGAGCTACAGAAGCTATGTCAAAAGACCTCTGCTGCTCAGTATACAACAGAATTTAGGAGAATCACTTCTCACTTGACTTGGAATGAAGAAGCCTTAGTCTTCACTTACTACCAAGGGCTCAAGAGCTCTATTAAGGATGAACTCAGCAAAGAAGAACGCCCTACAACACTTCAAACGCTTATAGAGAAAGCTGTCAGACTTGATGATAGGCTTTTTGAAAGAAGAAAGGAGAAGAACCAAGACTGGCATCCAACAAGAAATTTCAACAATTACACCTCTACACCAACTGCTAAGGACTCAGCACCTGAACCTATGGACTTAGACGCCTCTATAAAGAGATCTACAGCAAATCCAGCACCTCAGCCTACAGGATACCCTCAAAAACTGAAAAGGGGTAAACTTACCCCTCAAGAAAGAAAACACAGAATGGACAACAACCTTTGTTTATACTGTGGCAAAGGGGGACACAGAATTCAGGAGTGCTATTCAGCACGAGGGAGTGCTGATTCAAAACATATAGCAGCCTCAGACACAGTCACAACTGCTATTCCTGAAAAACTTGAAAAATCCCTAGCAGGCACAACTTCAACTGAGACTATAACTTCTCCCCTAGACAACAAAGATGTGTCGATGGTGCTTTCTCAGAGTCTCACACACCTGTTAATCCCTATTCAACTCCATTTCAAACAACAGGTGTTGTCTACAAGGGCTATGATAGACTCAGGGGCAACAGGCAACTTTATATCTCAAGACCTCATCTTGACACACCAGTTACCTACAATTCCCAAACGCACTCCAGAGTTGCTCCGAGTCATTGATGGAACTCCTATCAGTTCAGGTTCCATTACCTGCAACACCCCAGTACTCAAACTTGAGATTCCCCTAGGAAAATCAACATTTTCAGACACCATCTCTTTAGATGTTATACCAATGAAGTACCCAGTCATCCTAGGTCTTCCATGGCTTCAAAGGCATGATCCAACCATCAATTGGAAGCATTTATCGCTTGGGTTTAGCTCAAATCCTGAGCTCAATACTGAAAAAACCCTTCAAGCCTCAGTTACCCCTATTCAGGTCCAAGACTCAGACTTGTCCCAGATCAAGGATTTTGACCAAACTATGGACGATATATCATCTCTGATATGGGTTAAACCTTTCCAACCTGTCCTGGAGATAGCAGCTACTTCAGATTTGGAGAAATCATCTCAGGAGGTCATTTTGCCTTTAGCATACCAAGACTACCAACATCTTTTTGACAAGGCA